AAGCATTGTTTAGATATACCTTAGCAGATCTGTTTTTGTTCACCAGACATTATGGTTATTCAACTGGCCGCCATTCTCTTGTACTGAATTTTGTAAAATTATTTGTAGCTTAAAAATACATATTAAACTTTACATATTGTAGCGAGATGAGATATATTGTAATTTGTTTTGAATTATTTGAAAAAATGCAAGTCTTTTTTCTGTACTTGCTTATTTCTACAAAATATGAAATTACACATCTTGGTTTTTTCAGTGTACATTTGTGTCATATCTTGACCATATTTGCTATTCCATGCTATGATGTGGGCAGTATAATTTGAGGTTCTGCTGTGTTTCATGTTTATAATGTGAAATGCATGATATTATAGTAAATCTCACAATGTTTCCCTTACCATTATTCCCTTTACTTGAATTTGTACAACATTGATGATGTATGTGATTGGTGTATAAATAGTAATGTCAAGTTGTTGTGAAAAATCTAATTATTTGAAAATTAAATTTAATTGTTAATTGTTTAATTAGTTAATTGGAAAATTCACTTACTGACAAATTACTAGAAATACTGAGATTCTTATTTATACCACATGGTACTGCAAAACATTGTGTTTTTCTTTAATTTGGTTTCAACAGATGATATATTCACGATTCTAAATTATGTTGAAAAGTCATATTACCAGCAGTACACAAACAGAGTCTCTACTGAGTTTACCACAGTTTCCACATGAGTGTTTGACCTTTTTTTGAACAAAACTGGAAGCCACTCAACTCTGACAAGCACAAGCTACAATATAATGCCCCAGAGTTAGCATTTCATGTTACATCTAAAAGTTTAGCTTAATAGGTGGAATGCCAGTCAGATACCACCCAAGTGAGATAGCAGTAGAAGAACTGGGCGTACTCTTGGAATATTGTATCATTTAAAAAACTTGAAACGAAAAGAATGTGCAAAAAAAATGTACAACATTCAGTTATGAAAATCATGAATGTAACCACTTGTGCATGTAATTTTTATAGTGTTTTACCCTTTTTAAATATAAAACTGCTATCTCTAGCTAGTTAAAATATTAAAAAAATGGTTAAAATGCTGACTTGAGATGAAGGATGGAAAGAAGGGAGTCAGAGTGCTGGAAATAGAGCTAGTTTGGTAATCTTGAATGACATTTTCAGTTTCAATTTATTGTGGCCGTCATGTTGATAAGATGCCTGGTATTTTGTTCATATCTTGAATACTTAAATCCATTCTGCATTCTTAACATACCATACACCACAGCTGATGGAATGCATGTATATTGTTATATTACAGCTGTCCCTAGCAGCCCAGAAACCAAGCCTGCCTTCCAACCTAGGTAAGGTCACTGCTTTATCATTAATGTATTAATTATCTTCACATATCTTTGAAATATTTATGATAATAAAAATGTATTCTTCTAAGACAAGATATCCATGTGCTTCCACATCCTTGCTATTGCATATGCTCCATACTGATAATAATGAGGGGCCCTGTGTATCCAGGAAGGCCCCTTAAGTTGATTGATATTATTGTTGCCAAACAGGTGGATAATACATATTTAGCAAATTCAAGCTGTTCCATTTGTAGTTATGTCAACCATTTGTATCTGTGGAGAAGAACAAAACTTAAGGTCAAATTATTTGTATAAAAAGTGTTGTGAATTTAAAGATTATAAGAATTTTCGGATCACACAAAAAACTGCTTGTACATGTATATTTCAAAATTTATTTGTGGGAATAGACAGGTAAAGAATATGATGATTTCTATTTTCTATTCTTTTTGTTCAAGTGGGAAATTAGATATATTTAAATTGTTAAAGTTTAGTTAGCCTTTTACTGTTTTTATGGTTACTGTTTTTACATTTGTATGTATTCTCACAATTGTATTATAAAAATGTATCATATATTATCTATAAGTTATTTAGTTCGAAGACCTATAGTGTCAAATATCATTGACTGCTAGGTCAGTGTTCCTGGTTCAAAAAGCAAGGTGAAATATGTTAATTGACCATACATTTGAGAAATGTTGATGAAACGAAACTTCGTACTTTTTTGACCAAAATGTTACTTGATGATTTTAGCGTTTCAAACATTGCAAAGTTCCCCTATAATGCAACTACTCAAGACATTTCCCTAGATATTTCTCTACACAAGTTTACTTGCAGTGAGAAGTTTTCATGAAAAATGAAAGCCTAACTTTTTGTTATACTTCCTTATTGCCATGAAGACCACTCAGTCCTTAGCTGTTGATGCCCCACCAACATGATTTGATTATCATTAAAATAGGCATATATCAGTATTTAGAAGTTTTGACCTTGAAACTTGAATTCACCACTAGAACAAATTAAAAATATTGATTGGCCATTATATACTTTTAAGGAATGTAGAAAGCTGGAAATGTTGCACAAGGCCAACTCAATTCACACCATATGTGCAGCAGGCAATCTGTGTTGTCATTAACCGACCCATATATTCCAATTTACTGATCCTGTCCATATCACAAGGAAACAATTGTTACTTTTCAAAGTACATTGGTGGATTGGTTTTGTTTTTTACATATCAGAAATATAGAAAATATTAATAATAATATTAGTGTTCAGGTCATGTCCTTGGGCATAATTATTTCATTTCCTACCCCATATAGATTGTGCTGTGTTACTAATTGCCTCAGGTAGAATCACTAGCAGATACCCCAGTGGTGTGGTGTCCCACTAAGTTAGTTAACAACCACTAAATTAGCTATCCACCAGTGAGTTGGCAACTGCCATCCTGCCTGGTTATGGCCACATACATGCATTCACTATCACTGTACATGACTACAGTCAACGAAGAAAGGGACAGGCAACTGGCTTATGATTCATAAGATTTTGTTACATCCGGTGTACAATTCAAGTTATATTGATATAAACTTATAACTAAGCTAATGACACTATATAACATCCCTCTTTCTAAGGTCTATGCTACAATAGTAATTATACTTCCAAATCACTGGATAATCCCTCAAGTAGCTAGGAAAATAGTTGGCCAAGCTGATAAAAAAAAATCTTACTAAGGCTGATAAGTTGTTGATACAAAAAACATGTCAAACATTACTTCATTATAACTAAAAAAAAATTATGATTCAGTTTTACTTTTTAAGTGAGGATCTAATCCATGTTTACAAAAACTGTATGCTCCAAGTTGGTGGTCAAACAATCCTACTCCTGTCAAACTTGATTCACAATAATATGAAAAGCGAACATGTCCCTATGAAGGGAGGAGAAAACTAACCTCTGTGGTGATGATCTAATAGTATTAACTTGATAACTTATATAAAACATTGTGTTGTATATATTTATGTACTAAACATGAATCTATTAAGTATTGGGATACTTCAATATTCATGGAAAACTTGAATTTGATCCTTTTAGTTAAATGGAAATTTATTTTAGTCCTGCAAATTATGATAACAAAAGTTGCGACTTATGTTTAGTTTTGGATGACCTAAAGTTGTATTATTCTAAACATCTTATTAAACAGAAGTGACATTAACCAGCACTGCGAAAGTACCTCAGAGAAAAATATACTTACTGTGGAATTTACGGAGGTTTTGACAAAAATCTGCAGTTTCTTCAATCTAAAGAAGAAGTTATCTTAGTCCGCTGCTCTACATGTAGTAACCTTGTCTGCGTTTAATATAATCCACTTATAAAAGACTGATATGTGAGATAGAATGTGGGGGCCCCACAATAATACTGTACTTAGGGAGCTAGATCACCTATTATGGCCAAATGCCAGTGACTTAGCTGGCATCGAATTACCATACATATCCCTGGATATAATAACCTCAGCTCATTAGAATATTATATCAGTCAAGTCACCTCAGTTTTGTCTCTGCTAGAATCTCTTGGTTTTGGAGTGTTCTTACTTCGATAGGCTCACTTTAAGGTAGGGATCACACACCAACAGTTAGCCCACATATTTGTTAATCAATTTTGTGTTAGTTCCTCTAAATTTAAGCTCACTGAAAGATATTTTTCATTGGGTTGAAAAGTTTCGGCTGACCGTCCTATCCAGACATGCTTGGGATGCCACTCTCTTCTATACTTAGCACTCAGTTTAACTTTTACTATCATTTATGGATGTTTCTTCTTTTCATTCCTTTTAATATAAAATATTGTTTTATAAAATCTATTACTGAATTTCACTTCTCTTATTTAATAGTTCTTTAATTATTTTTTTAATTCTGAAAATTATATAACTACCTATTTAAACTTGCTAGTAAATATCAGCCCTAGCTACTATTTACATCCACACAGATGTATGTGTTGTGTTATTTTGTTTTTAATCAAAATAAACTTACCAGAAGCTCCCAAACTCTAAATATCATGGCCCATTTTTTATATCTTACTCCACACTATAAAATAATATATATATATATCATAAACAATATATTGTAAATAAAAATATAATATGAAATGATATTAGTATTTAGTTTAACCATATTGTTTTTAAGTCGACAGATTCTTTCTTCTTAAGGAGGCCCAGAATAGGCATTTTGTTAATGTTTTATTCAACTTGTTGTTTTGCTCTTAGGTACCAGTTAACTACATCTAAGTATCTGAGGACAACCATCATGTCCCAAGCAGAAGAGACTGAAGAAGATGTGGCGCCACAGTTTACTAAAACTATCGAGAGTCAATCTGTCCTTGAAGGAAAGGAGGTTCACTTTGAGGCAGTTGTTACAGGTTAGTTAATCATTGTGGAATCTATGTTTCTAGCTATTGCTGCTTATCCTGGAGTACTCTGTCATGTCTGTGTTTCTCATAATAGGTCTCTGCAGCTGCAGAGTGCATTCTTTAACAGTATTATTTTAATGTGTCACTGAAACATGAGGAAATGTCAAGTTAACTGGTTTAATGAGAAATGCTTTTCCATGTGTTCCTAATTGATCTTTCGATATTTATTTTTGGAGTGTATGATGATGTCAAACAAGTCGTATGTTTTTTATTGCCAATGCCCATTTTACTTCTGAATTGAATTATGCTCTGGTTGTATAGGTCAGCTAAACTGAAATTATTTTTAATGATACTTGAAACCACTACACATTAATTTTTTAACATAATCACCATTTTCTCAAATGCTTAACTTTTTAATTCATCCCTAGGGTACAAACCTCCTAAGAGGGGCCAATGACCTGCAACCTTCAGGAAATGTCATCAGTCATGATACATAAACAGTGTGTCAACTCTCAATTACACAAACATCAACTTTAAACTCTTTTCCCTCTGCTCTTATTAACATAATCATTACATCTTACAGGTACCCCTGAGCCAAGCATTAAATGGTATGGACAGGGTATAGAATTCAAGGAATCCCCAGACTATATCATTAAATATGAGAATGGAGTCTGTACCTTGCGCATACCTGAAGCATTTGATGAAGATGCAGGCAAAATAACCTGTGAAGCCACCAATTCTGCAGGCTCAGCTGAGACGCATGCTGAGCTTGTAGTAAGAGGTATGTACATGTATTACTAATTCTCTGTATACTTCCTACTTTCAAATTTTATATTGAGTTTCGCTGAAACTCTTTTTCCAAAATGTACATAACTATCAACTTACAAAATGGAACTAATTATCCAATTTCAGGTGCAACTGAGGCGCCAGAGTTCACGCACCGCTTACACAGCCGTGAGGTAAGAGAAGGAAGGCCAGTACGTCTTGAATGTAAACTTCAAGGACAACCTAAACCAGACGTAACCTGGCTTTTGAATCACAAGAAGATAGAATCGTCGCCACCACACAGGACGATTTCAAGACAAGCAGACCTATGTATTTTAATAATATCTTCAGCCAAAGATGAGGACACAGGCACATACACAATATCTGCAGAAAATACTGCTGGTGTGGCTGAGTGTTCTGCTGAGGTTGCAGTCAAAAGTAAGTCATTTTAAAATTTTTAGATGTTTTATTTTTTAAGAAAATTTCTGAGACTTTTAAAAAAAAATTGCTTTCTGGGTTAATATAACTATGATTGTCTAAAACTTGTATATAATTCTATTTCTGTAGAAGAGTCATCTTCTTCTGAAGAAAGTCCACCAGAAGAAGACCAGAAACCAAAGACCGAAGTGAAAACAACAACTGAGGTACTGTCTGACTTATATTTGCAGAGTGTGATATTCAGATACCACCTTTCCCTTGTTCTCTGTATTTATTGTGTAACCTTTCACTCTTAGGTCACCAAAGTAACTACGACGAGAACAACTACAACTGAGAAGGATGTAGATAAGATTAAACCTGTATCAGCACCTGTAATAGAGGCGCAACCTATACCACCAGATGTTCCTGGAAGAGCTCCTCCAGTGTTTACACAGGTAATCACAAAAACATTTCTCCAATTGAACACTTTCTCATTTAGACTATAGTCGCTAATCAAGTACTGTGAGCTGTTTTTTTGTTCAAAACAAGTATCACACATCATTCTTGTCTTGCAAAATGATATAAAAAGATAACAGTATGTAATATTTAGTAAATGTTGTCCTATTAAAATGCCCTTTATTGGTCCTTTTTTGAATAGCATATAAAAAGATGACTTTTTCTTGCAGTATATATTTCACCTAAGCCGTACATAGTTATTTATTAAATATTGTTGGCATATTTTCTGTTTGAATATTTACTAGTAGCTAGCATCAGCAAAATGGAACTTGTCAGAATATTGACAGATGAATTCGCTTTGACAAAGAGTTTGATTTAAAATTAAACCAATTTCACTTTTTTTAGCCATTGGGAGATGTGGTTGCTTCCGAGGGTGACTCTGTGAAATTGCAGTGTATTATCAGAGGTGAGCCTGCTCCCCAAATACGCTGGTATCGTGAAGGAGCCCTCATTGAACCATCCATGGACTTTGACATTCAACAGAAAGGAGATATGCACACATTGAATATTCCAGAGGTGTTCTTAGATGATGCTGGAAGATTCAAGTGCACAGCCACTAACTCTTCAGGTAGTAAATCCACTACTTGCGTCCTGAAAGTACGAGGTAAGTGTATGCTTGACTACTGAATGCCTAATTTTTTCCAGCCAATTCAATTAGCCAATATTTTGTACATTTTTTTTTCTATAATTATTTGTTAATTTTAGGCTGAGGAACAAAATACAGAAAAAAAAGTTGCTGCTATATTATGTAAAAGATGACTGCTTTCTCTTTTTTTTTATATAACTTTCTCATAAATAATAATTATCACAGCCTTTCTTGATATTTTACAAATTGTTACATTCTTCATTTTTGCAGATAAGGAATTGCCACCATTGAAATTGACTCCAGCTGCACCTCCATTACCGTAAGCCTCTTCATTATAAATCTTTATCTTTTATGTTCCATAAACAAATGATATCATTACTATTCTTCAGCGTCATATAATTATGATTTTTTTTTTCCCCAAAGTGCTGATCAGGTGATGATAGATGTTAAGGATGCTACAGCTCCTGAAGTCATTAAACCAATGGTACCTACTAAATTTGTTGAAGGTGGTCAAGCATGTCTGGAATGTAAATTTAAAGCGCATCCCATTCCAGAGATAACATGGAGTAAAGATGGTATTCCTTTGAGGACAGGTTACAGGTAAAAAAAAAAAAAGATTATTGATTTTTCATTTAGCCCCATTTCTGTGATGTGATATGTGTCTATTGTAGGAAAAATTGTTGTCTCCACACTAATGTTGTTTATTCAATTATTCTGAACATTTTTATCTGAATTTTTTGTCTTCTGTAGGTTAAATGTAAAATATAATGAACAGTATGGTATTGCTCAGTTGTTTATTACAATGTTACTGGAAGAAGATATTGGAGAATACACTTGTACTGCTACCAATATGTCTGGTCAAACTACATGTAAAGCTCCCATACTATCTGAAAGTAAGTATGTGTGAATTGATTGGATCATGTCTGTCACATGACAGGTAACAACAGATGTGATTGGTTATTATCGAAACTGAAATGTGATTGGTTAATTGCAGTCACATGACTGGATACTAAGTTGTTACAAGTATTTAATCTGTATACGGTGATACTTGTAATGTTTTTTAAAGAGAATTACTTTATTATAACAACACTTTCTAGGTCAATATGATATTTGGCTGCAACAGGAACAAAAACGCAAGCAAGAAGAGTATGAGAAACGCCATCGTGCATCAGTTACCAAAGAACTTGAAGACAGATTACAGCAGAGGCAAGATGGTTATTCTCCTAGGAGAATGACGCCTATGTCTCCAAGCGCTGAGAAACTGCAGCGTTTATATGACAGTGGAAGCGATGTTGATAGTGCTATCTATGGGGATCAGGTTAGTATTCAGATTGCTTGTTTATTTGCTGTGCGTTTCTAAATAGTGAATCTATTTTCTCTATAACTGACTCAATGACCAAACTATTCATTCAGAATTTGGCATCGTCAGTGCTTCTGTTACTGTAAAATGACTAATTTTCACTGGGTTTAAATTTCGCTGATTTACCATTTCAGGCATATTCAGTAGGTTTTAAATTCACGGTTTTAATATTTAGATAATGTGTTCTATGCTAAATGTTACGTATTCACTGGGTTTTAATTTAGCGCATTTTCCAGTCAGCGAAATAAGCAAAATTAAAACCCAGTGAATAATTAACCCCTTCACAGTACCCAAATTTATTCAGTTTGCACTTGCCATTGGTGGTTATTAGAGAGATATATGGTTCTTTGGTTTGCATGTTTGTGTTTTTGTTTTTAACTACCTGTAGTACTAATACTGTATTTATGTTTCAGGATTAGGTGTTTGCGTAGTAGATAAGAAAAGGCATGATTAGCATTGTTGTTCCTGTATAGGTCACTAGACTCTGGCGAGTTCGTGCTCTGGTGGTGTACTGTAGATAACAAAGTAGTGAAGAAAAATACTCACCTCTTGCAGTGTCAAATTAATAAAAATTATTTATCTATGCTGCTCTTCATGTTCTTTATACCAGAATTTCAATTTTATTTTCATCTGAGGAATAATATATTTTTTTAAAAGCTTTATATCTCTCTTTATCTTTCTTCTTTACTTCTTTCCTTCATCTCAGGATTTTAAAACTCCTGCATTTGAGAAACGACTTTATCAAGAGATATCTTATCGTGAGAAGAAACCATCATCTGACGTTGAAGCTGATAGATCTATTTCCGAGGTCTGTTCCTAGCAATCGCCTCACCCACTTGCCTGGACCTTCCTCCCCTTCTAACTCTACCACTTTACTTAATCTTATTCTTCTGCATGCTGTAACAAATCATTGCTCACTCTATGTTGACATAGTATAATTTGTCATGTATGTCACTGGAAATATACCATAATCTGAGGAAAATCCAGATTGTGTTTTGGTTTATTATCTATGTCAGTCCTAGGGAGCATTGTTTTGATGCATACTTACCTAAAACACTCTTATTCTTACAACAGAGCTAAAACTCTCACCATAAAAGCAATATGCTTGACAGATTAGACAGATGCTTGCTTACTGACCACCACCACTATGCAGAAATCACGCTAATGCTTGTTGTCATGGTAGCTGCTAATTGTTTGAGAATGTAATGCTTTATCTGCAGGATTTCAGAGTGTCACCATTTGAAGCACGACTGCACAAAGAAATTGTGTACCGACAGAAGAAAAGCAGTTTGACTGAATCCGATTTGGAAAGCAGTTTGCTAGAGGTTGTTCTAATGGCTTTAATCACTGTGTGTCTGTTTGCCATCCTAGTCTTAGTCTCATGCCTTGTTTCACAGTCATTACACTGCATTGATAGATATGCACACTGATGTACACCTTCAAATTAACACTGATTTCAATTTTCATTTTCAGTATAATGTGTCCAACAATCCAACTTAATTACCTTATTACTTATACTATCTGTAAAAACATTCTGACAGACATTGTTACAATGTTATTTGGCAAATTAACCAAATTAATAATGTTCAGAAGTTTATATTCTTTGATAGAATTTGTGATAAGGTGGTTAAAAGTTATTTTAATAATCCCTTATTAAAATATTGATCAAATGATAATAACTTTATATTTGTTAACCAACCCAATTCATTTGTCATGTTGTTACTTTTCCTGGTGAACCAACGTCATTGAGATGCACATATAAATATTTGTGAATCTACCATACTCTCCAACTTAGCGCCCATCTCCACTTGATTTCTGGAGCTGAGTACCCTTTGCGAAAAGTCAGATGAGTACCATAGTATCTTTTTACTCCAGGACGATCTCTCACTTTGATGTGTTCATTAGCACCATCTCCATTTTCAGAAAGACTGTATTAATTTTCAACGTTGTTGTTAATGTATCATCCATGTATCTTATTTGCTCTGATGAAATTCACACTTAAACTCATTTATGAGATTTATTTTCTCATGTAGGACTTGAAAACGCCAAGCTTCGAAGATCGTCTTCAACATGAAATCTCATTCCGTGAAACCAAACCTGATACTGGTACAGAGACTGAGCTAACCGAGTCTGAAATGGATGTAAGTGACATTCCCTTGGACCAGGCTAGAGCACCTGAGTTTGTTAAAGAACTGAAAAGCTTCAAGCTGTTAGAAGGAGGCTCGGCATCGCTTACTTGCAGAGTTGATGGCTACCCAAAGCCTAAAGTAAGTATTGCTTAGGCTCTCTTCTTTTGTAGTTTAAATACTCTAATGATCTCTTATTGGACACAGCGTTCATGTTCTTGAACTGTAGTAATAATATTTGTTAATACTCTAGGTACAATGGTACAAGGATGGACAGATAATCCATAAATCCACAAGATATGACATACGTTATACTGAGGGATTTTGTTCACTACGCATCAATATGTCTTTACCAGAAGATAGTGGTACATACATGGTGCTAGCAATGAACATTGCTGGACGTGCCAAGACTGTAGGACGACTCCTTGTTGAACCTGCTGGTGTCAGCGAAGAATCAGAGCACATGAGAGGCCGCATGGCTTTAATGGTCAAACGGTGAGTACTCGATAAATTTTACTGCTCTAGAAATTTACTTAATTTAATGTCATTCTCATAAATTTTATGAAAGTCTCCTCGCGGAATGATTGTCTCATGAAATTGAAAAATTTTATGTCTGTTTAACTGTATCTAATTACCTGCTGGTTACCGTAACTGGTATATGCAAATGTGTTTCTTCAATCATTTATGTTTGCTTTTCTTTTAATGACAGGGATACCACACCATACAGAACACCAGATAGAGGACCCCAAGAGAGCGAAGTGAAAGAGAAACACATCCGTCCAAACTTCCGTGAAGTACCTCGTGATCTCCACATTCGTGAAGGCCAGATAGCTCGCTTCAACTGCCGTCTAACTGGACGCCCACCACCGGATTTGGAATGGTACTTAGATGGTAACCGGGTCGCTAGTGATGCTACACATAAAGTCATTGTTAATGAGGGTGGCGTTCACGCTTTGTTGATTACTTATGCTGTGCCATCAGATACTGGAACATATACATGTGTTGCAAAGAATAGAGCCGGTGAAGCTCAATTTACTGTCACGCTTGAAGTTGATCGTAAGTGTATTCTTGCAGTTACACACTCAGTAAAAACAAAATATTATATGAATACAACCATCTCATGATGTAGCACTAGTCAGTTATATATAGGCCATTTATCTTTGCAACCTTTATTTATTATGAAATTTTGTGTAGAAGCTAGACATAACTCTTTTATGTTTTTTTTTATTTGCAGCTAAGCTTAGCAAAGTAGCTCCACAGTTCTTGGAGCGAATCCAGAACACACAGGTAAAGGAAGGACAACCAGTGGAATTCAGATGTGAAGTTAGTGGTACACCAACACCACAAGTCAGTTGGAAGAAAGATGGGCATTACATCACAAGAGGAAAGACACCATACAGGTACAGATTTTTGAATACAACCTTTTTGAATACCATCATGTTTTTTACCAATTGTTTAGTTCAACATAAATGAAAATGTGTGGCGACTAGTTGGATGAAAAAATAACTGGAACTCAAGAAAGTAGAATCATACTGCTTACTGAATCATGGTAGTCATCTTCTGTGAGATTTAATTTATGCTGAAATTTACTATACTGTTCTGTGCCTATATATTCACATATTGATATTTTGTGTGTATTTTTATCTCACTTTGTTATTTACTTTGTAGGATGGAAGGTTTAGATGGTGTCCATACTTTAACAATTGATAAATGTACACGATTTGACAGTGCATGGTACACTTGTACAGCTTTCAATACTGGAGGAAGAGTCGCTTGTCGTGCTAAACTTAATGTGTCAGTGGAGAAACATGAACGTGGTCCCTCTGAAGAGAGAAATTTCACTATTCCCAAGCGAGAGAAGCCAACTGAGTAAGTAAACTAACTTGTTAATTATAAGATGCCTTAACTAATATCTCAAGTTTTGTGGTATCTCTTTCTGAAATAAACAGTTATCTTGTTTTCTGTGATTTTCAATTTGTAATTAAAATTTGTTTCCGCTGAAGAAAAAAACAGGGAAAATAAAAACCAGAGCAAAGTGTTTTTTTTTATTGACAAAACAAATTGATTGAAAAGTAAAAAAGTGATTGTCAAGCAATCTACAATTAATATTTTCATATTTACAATTTCATTTTCAGACTTCCTCCGATTGAGCATACAGTACCCAGCTATGTACAACCAGAGACATACTCTGATGATGAGATGTACCAGACTGAGAAAGTCCAATCACCAGAATTCAAGAGAAAGATTGCTAACATCAGACTTAAGGAAGGTGAAGATGCACATTTTGAAGGCCGTATTCTACCTCTTGGTGATCCATCCATGAAAATTGAATGGTTTAAGAACAATGAGCCAATACCACAAGGTAAGAAAGATTGTACTCTGAAATACTTTATTTTGGCTTGGAATTAATTTTTGCTGAAGGAATGATTCAGTGAAAATAAAATCCAGCGAATGTACCTTTTTTCCTATATTTTACATTCAACTCATCAAAAATCAGTGAAATTAAATTGCATACGAAACACCCAAAATGTCTTTTCAGTGAAAATTAATTTCAGCTATAATAAATTATTTTACAGTACCATAACAATGCAAAGTTTCTCTATTGTGTTAGTAAATGTCAAGCAGTGAATGAGAATTGACTTTAATGTTGCATTGTTTTTGTGCCTTACCCATGATGAAATGAAGATAGTAATATATATGGAGGGGTTAATATGTCTTTATACCATATTTGTTCTTGATTAGACATGTTAATTGAAGTATTTCTTATTCAATTTTTTCTAAATTCAATTTTATAGGATCTCGTTTCAAGACAACCTATGAGTTTGGATTTGTTGCCTTGGACATTGCATATGTTTATGAGGAAGACTCTGGAACTTATTCTTGTAGAGCAACAAATATTTCCGGTTCTGATACCATGTCTGCTGAGTTGAAGTGCAAAGGTAAGAAAAAAAAAACCTTTGATAGCCATTGTCAACTTTTGGCATCAGCAACAAAATGATTGTGTACCGTCTGCTTTTCCTGCCATGAAATGTGGATAAAAATTTAAAAATCATTTGGTCAAAAACTAAATACAATATCTGGAACTGTCTGTACGAACCAAAATGATGATAACATTTCAACAAATATTTCTATTGAATTTTGGGTGGGATAAATATCTGTCAGTGAATTCTTCAAGAGAATATTAATTGTCCAAAATTTAATACTATGGTTAACTTGTAATAATAATTTTCATATCATTCCTTGCAGCCAAAACATCCCTTATCACAGTAAGCCAGTTGCCAGAAGAAATGAGAGGAATTGAAAGAACCATTGAGTTTGAAGAAGCCATTAAAAAGTGAGCAAAAAGAAATTGCAGAAAACACATTTGTGTCAGCTTGTGAAATCCAATGAGCTTTCCTAATGTTCCTGAACTGAAATTTTTGAAAACAGATTCCATTAGCTGGTGAAATCACAAATTTTAGACTTATAAACTTCCCAATGTTCCTAAACATTTTTGACCACCTTTCTGGTTATTATTTCTAGGGGTCTTATCAAGGCACCTGAGGATATGGATGAAGATGATGAAGAAGCAGCACCTCCAGAACTTGTGAAGTTACCAGAAGCTTTGCATGTTCAAGAAGGAGAACAAGCTCGGTTTTCAGCCCGTGTTACTGGCAATCCATTGCCACGTGTACATTGGTATAAGGATGGAGAGATGATTCATAAGGTACTAATTATTCTTCTGAATAATTTGAACGGGTATGAAATACATTTTATACAGGAAAGTTGAATGTGTGCCGCATAGTGACTGTGGCATAAATTGGTTTTATCATAGCTTCAAATCAATCATGCAGTGAGTTGGTTTACTACAATACATTGTCTTTCATGCATTTATTTTATTGTTCTCTATGCAGAGTACGCGTTATAAGGTAGATTTTGATGGTCTGCACTATTTTGAAATCCCGAAAACTCGGCATTATGATTCTGGTGATATCAAAGTGGTTGCCAAGAACAAATATGGCGAGGTGTCTCATACTACCCGACTGGATATTTCCAGGAGAGAAGGATATGGTGTGCATCTCAAACATCACAAGATGAGTAAGTTAACTGTACTTTTTAATCTTGTTTTGTGTTTGCTATGTTCAAGGTGGTTGCAAGTATCAATTATCATAACCTAATTATTATAATAATTTTTTTCAGTGCCCAAGGTTGTATCAAGACATGAACCTGTTAGTGTTGAACTGAAAAAAGCTTTCAAGGACAAACGCTGTGTACCAACTCATGGAATAGGTGCTCAGCTGAAAACCATCCCCAAAAGTGTGTATTCTCATTTCTTCTCTCATTGCTATATTCATAAACATCACTTAATTTCATACAGAAAATTTTAATAAATATATCTTGCATTTTTTATTTTTTCTATCCAGGTGAAAGAGTTGAAGTTTCAAGTGAACTTGGAAAGAAATTTGAAAGAGCTAAGACTACAGCAATGGAAACCACTTATAAAATGGAAAAAGATCAACAAGTTAGAAAAGAGAAATTACCTGCTACCAGATTAACGCCAAAAGGTGAGCCTAAGCGTGTGGCGATAAGAGAACCTCCGAAGCAAGAAACTCCTAAACCAAGTGAAGATGCAGTTTCGAAGAAAACTGTAACATTACAAACCCAACCACCGTATTTTGTAATGAAACTGAGTGACAATGACATGATTGAGGGTCAAACAGTACGATTTGATATTAAGTTTGAGGGTGTTCCTGAGCCTGAAGTGACGTGGTATCGGGAAGGCACCGAGATTCAGTCTTCTGATAAATATCATATACAGAAGGCATCGAATTACAGTTCACTTATCATCCCTGAAGTATTTGTAGGTGATGCAGGTGTCATCACTGTGCAGCTTGTTAGCGATTCTGGCACTGCAACCTGTTCAGCAAGACTCACTGTACAAGGTATCTTTGTTGTTTCTGGCATGTACCTCCAGCTTCCATCCCACACAAGTCTTTTCTATTTATTTTCTATTGTCTTGGATATACACAGCCTCACTTTTCCTTTTTTCTCTTCATTTCCTTTTCTTCTTGTATCAGCTTGCCGCCATTACTTAAAGAATAAATCGTGCCGTTTATATATTTATAAATATATATAAAAAATTGTCAATAAGGCAAAACTTGGCTTAAATGCTACTCTCTGCTCCCAGGATTTATGTAGGATGGAAGCTGCTTTTTAAAAATATTATAATCCTATTCATTCCAAAAATCCTTCCTTGCATGATGAATGCCATTAACCATTAGTTTCCACCCATTTGTTAAAATGAAAGTTCACTAAAAAAAAACAAACCCTACATTGGTTCTCATTATTAATGCTTGTTGAAATACCCCTGGTAGCCATAGTCACTAACAAATTATATCTATATGATCATGTGATAAATGTCAGGTGTGCATGTGATGTGCATGTGATACAATGGTAATGTACATGAGTTATTCATGTGATTTGTTATCATATATTAGTTTCCTTTTCAAATATATCATGTAGTACATTGTTCATATTAAATCATAGAAATATGTATTAATAAATCATAACTAATATGTAATTGTAATTTTGTTGCATATATAACGTTATCCCTGACATATTTATTAGATCGAGCAGAATCTCCAGAACCATCAGAGAAGATTGCACCAACCTTTACCAGTAATTTGAAAGGTATTACCATCAAAGCAGGAGAACCAGCAAAGTTCACTGTGTTCATTGAAGGTTCCCCAAGACCTAAAGTTACATGGTACAAGGTAAGAACAGATAAGGAACAGATTAACACTCACATATCACACTCACACATCCTAGTATCTGTAACAGAAAGAAGTTGTATCTTTTTCAAAAGGTTTTCATTCTTCCTTTTAGTTATGGAGACAAACAAGACTAACCTTCTACATTGAAATCTTTTGTTGCTCATTATGATACATTGTTATCCATCACTTTGCCAACCTGTGCTGAAAGCAAACTTTTACCATTCTTGCACTAAACTAGCCCCAAGTTTGTGTGAAGTAAAAATTAAATTGATGTTAAGTTTATCAATTGTCTGTCTTGGCTTACAGAGTGGTGTTAAGATCTTCCCTGGTCTACGTTTCAAGATGTTGGAAGAAGGCAAAGAGTATACTCTTCTTATCATTCAATCTGAATCTGAGGACTCTGCCACTTATACATGCGAGGCTGTCAACGCTGCTGGCAGAATGACTGCAAAGGCTGAACTCGTTGTTGAACGTAAGTTGTCATGTATTCTGCTTTCAGTAAATGTAAATTTAAAAAAAATGTTTTTCATTGTCTCTACTGAGAATGTTCCTCACAAAGCAGTTTCCACAGAGTGAGAAGATCTCAACAAAGTTCACTCAGCTTCCTATCTCATTATTGTCAAATAAATAAAGATTATTTCCCTACTACTCAATAATTCATTGAATTTTTCTTGCTTTATATTATTTTCAGCTCGTACTCCAGGAATCTCTGAAGTAGAATCTGAAACTGAGTCTATGAGAGCTGAATTTAAAGCCCCTTCGATGAGGATTACTTTGAAGGACTTCTCCACCAGAGAAGGTGCACCAGCAATCTTTGAATGCAGTGTCACAGGTAGACCAGGTAGGACATTTTGTTATAACCTGTTAGTTGTTTGTCTGTTTTCTTAAAATCTCAACTTTTTGGTGTTGTCCAAGGATGGAACAGTAGTCCTAAATATACTGCTAAGTTGGCCTGCCATCAACATTTAAAAATGAAAAGTCATCTTTGAAAGAATTATAATACCTTCTTTTAAGTCTGAATGAAACTTGACATGATTCATTCAAAAACCTGCCCTTTTAGGTGGATTATCCAGCAGCTGTGTATTTAAAAATTCATTCGTTCAAACACCTTGGATGTGTTTTTTGTGTAATCGTTTGATGAAATGTCTTCTTTCCAGATCCAGTCATCACATGGTACCTGAACAAGGCAATTATCAAGCCTTCCAAGTTCTTCCAAATGTCCTACAAAGATGGATTGGCGAGGCTGCACATTACGGAAGCCTTCCCAGAGGATGAAGGCACATATACATGTGAAGCGTCGAACCCACAGGGTTCAGTTTCATCATCAGCCATGTTAAAAGTGGAAGGTATGTTTGATGATGATGATTACTATGGCTAAGGTTACAGCATCAGATTTTCAAGGACATGAGAAATCTTCATCCTCAAAGCAGACAAAACCTAAATTATTATAATTTTCACATTTTTTGGCTGTGCTTCATAAAAGGTCTCTGTTCTCTGTGGCTTGCGAGTACGTTCTGTGAAAGCTTGCATGTCTGGAGAGTTGACAAGTGATAAAAACATTTTCAATTGTTATTTACAGAAAATTGTAAATACACTGACAGTTCTAACATGGCTTGACATGTTAAAAAATACAAATATAGAAGATTCTCATTCTTGAATTCTAAATGGTATCCTTTGAAAACGAACCGGCTACTTACTACTACTAGTAGGGTTCAGCTGTATTGGGCCAATAGGGTTATCATGTCATCTGGGACATGCATAATTTTAATGTATTTTTTGTTTTTAATTTATTCTTATTTTATTAGAGATGCATGGCACTTGAAAACTAGGTTCGCCTAGTTGCACTGTGTTGCGAACATAATGCTGACTTTTGATGTTGTTTTCAGTTAAGAGTGACATTTTACATTGTTGAAAATATTACTGAAAAAAATCAAACAAACAAAAGACAAGTACGAAAGAAAAACTTAAAGCAAAAAAAAAATTAATGAAACAAATAAGTAAATAAACGGAGTAAATCAGGTAGTGGCCAAAACCGATTCTCCAGCCTAAGTTAAAAAAAACCTTCAGGACTTTTAGATGTGTGAAACTAATCAGCAGACCCTCGAATTTAGACTTGCAGGGCTTCGTTATTTGATTACATTATATGACAGGTAAGGTATTCATATGATGTAATCTAAAATTGCAGCCTTACTACTGTGTGGTTGTTGTGGTGCTATGATCTTTTTTAATTCACCTTGGAAGCAAAATTAGCCAGCTGTTTTTTTTTAAAAAGAAAATGTTTTGCTGGCAGAACTGCAATCATAATGATCTGAAATCAATATTGAAAGAAATTGTGCTGCCATTGGCTGATTTGAATTACTTCTACTCTGCCATTGGCTGGTTTGAATTACTTCCACTCTGCCATTGGCTGATTTGAATCACAGATTACTGCCATTCAATAAATAAACTCAGGGGTTGAATCTATTCATGCCTTTTCTTTCAACTGATCGCCCTTGACCTTGTGTTTTATATAATTTTCTCCAATGACTGCACAACTTCTTTCACATATTCAATTTTGTTTTTGATTTTTCATAATTGTATTATCTGTACTTACTATCTCTTTTAAAATAAGCTCGATTTTGTAAGATTTAGATTTTTTCTTTCAATGCATTCTTCTTATAGCTGCTCTTACTTTACTTCTTGGGACACTTTTTTCATCTTCGCTACTAACAATGATGTATAAATACCATTCAAGTAAAAAAAACAAAAAAAAAAAACATCCCAAGTTTTACATCAGCCAACTGGAAGGAAATAAAAACTGGTATTCCCATTTCACCTGCACTTAGATTTTATTATTGACCATCTAGAAGCTCATTTGGATAGAAAATGCTGATTTTATTTAAGGTGTATATTTGAAGTCTTTATATTAGCAACTGTTTCCTGAAATTCAAAATAAGGATAACACTTTGCATAACAAAATATCCCCTGAATCACATGATAAGTTCCACCAATCATGACTGTGCTTTGTGAAGAACCAACCAATCAGTATCCAGCTTCAGGAAACAGTTCTAGATACAAAGACTTAACTTGCTAACCATCTTTACGCTTTGTAATGATCTTAGTTGAAATATTAAATGCTGGTCTTTGGCCAAGCAAACTGCATTTCTAAGGTTGTTGGTATTGTCTTTCTCTCTTGACTCGTACAAACAACTTCCCCTGCTACTGAACAAAAGACGCACAGAATATCACACAAGAAAAATAAATAAAAGAAGAAAATATGAATAAAGTAAATGAAATAAATAAAAAAAAAAGAACCCAGAATACACCACACATTCCCATTCACTACAGACCTACAAAAACTTACTCCTGTTATCCTTAGACCAATGACTGATCTCATGACTAAGAATACTGCACATGAAATATGAATTCAAAATGTCTATTTCTTTCTTACGATATATATTGCAACCTTCATTGATCAGAAGTACCAGACACTATCAGTACAAGATTGTATTCGCTTCACACTTGAGTATAGCAAGCCCATACTAAGACCAGCTCTCTATGTGCACCACTGACTGAGCCAACACTGACTGTGGTAGTTGACTATACAGACAGCTGACAGACAGATGTTCATATTAGAACTTTTCCTGTTTACACAAAGCTTTCCAAAGCCTCTGCTGTTCACTTTAAATAGATACAATCCCAATGCTGTCTAAGCAGACCATGTGAACACCTGACCCTGCTGTCCTAGCAGACCATGCCAGTACCTACCCACCTTTCCCGTCATAGCAGATCGTGCTAATATCTATTCCTGCTTCCAAGCAAACTATGTCCAATATTTATGCTGCCGAGCAGACCATAACTACCTGCTGTAGATAAAGATTATACCAGTTCCATTTTACAAATAAGAACCATATTGATTAAAGGAATTTTGATTTATTAAAAGTTTATAGACAAGCTTGCAGGTAAGGTTCTGTAATAGGAATGCAAGAACAGAGATTGGTACGATCTGATAAGACCTCCTACACCCTGGGCATCAACACTACTGCCACCACATATACAGTTATTGGGAGTATGTTACTGTCACTAGCTTGCATTAGCACTCCCCACAGCTAATTCACACCATAATTACAATTAAATTAGGATAAAACCAAACACCCTAAAAGCTTTTACATAGAGCTATTAAAATGCATGGCTTTTTTTCAATATTGCAAATACCACCACTATAATTAAGTGCACCCAAACTTACAGTGATATTATTTTGTCCTCTTTCAGTTGAGGAAAGTGGGTCTGAAGCTGTTGACAGAGCAGTACCCCCTAGGTTTTACCGGAAGATTACAAACTGTGATGTGGTGGAAGGAAATACTGCCCGATTTGACTGTAAAGTTCTTGGTAGACCCCCTCCTGAAATTACCTGGTACAGAGAAGGGCATGAAATCAGAAGCTCACCAGACTTCAGGGTTATACATGGAGCCCGTGGAATGTGTTCACTCTTGATCCAGGAAGCATTCCCAGAAGATGCTGGCAAATTTACAGTGAAGGCTGTAAATGCTGCCGGTGAGGTCACCTGTAGTGCTCGGCTCAGCTGCGAAGGTATGTTATATAGAAAGACACACACCATCAAAATGCTTGGTATGATCAGCATCTCGGTTTGTGTGTGTGTCTTGGATTTATTGTCTGTGTTAGTATTGCTTAACAAAGTACAGGAATTTTTAATAGGTTGTGGAATGTATTTAAGTTGACATTAATGTGGTGTAATAGTAATCAATTGTATGTAAAAATCGTGCCATGCATGTTAGAATTTGAATGGATGTATTTCTTTGCTATGCAATTATCGTATCAATGTTCAGTCGAGTGGAAATTTGAGTTCACATGTTATTTGGTATAACATCCATGACTCGTGTGATAACTGATGTCATGCTTGTTAGAATTTGAGTAACCTGTTTGGGATATATACTTTTGACTTTTATTGTATGATTTGTATGTATATTGTGTTTAATGATGGGAAGAACTTTTCAATCAGAGTGTTCTAATTATCTTACTTGTATGAATATATATTTGACTTATTAAATGCAAATTAAAATTTTGTCTACATTCATAAAAATTACTCTAATACATAACCTAAATAATAAATTTTGTCCTTATTTTTTTTGTTATTTTGATCATAAACCTACTCAATTTGAAATTTTGTTCATTTGGTTTCAAATTAATTTAAGAAAATGTATATAATAAATATATATGTTGCTATAAGTTTTTGATAGAAAAAATTGTTTTGTTCAAAAGAATAATATCATTTACTGTGCTGAGAGGTAATAATACCTGTTACAGTTCTGGTTGAAGGCAGATTAGAGGTAGGAAGGGGATCTTAGCATCAATGTACAGTCTTTAAATCAATCAGTAATGCACTTGATATTAAGTGGTTTAGGTGTTAACAATAGTATAAAGTAAACATTGAAACACTGTCTTTAGTGTATCAAGTTACTATCATGATCAATTTCTGACCTGAGAACTGGGTTGTCTTACTGGCTATTCTACCATATGTGTCACCTAGTATTTTCATTGGTTAAATAACTTGTTTAAAATTTGTTTCCTGAAATAATTTTGTTTTGTCTAATTAAACAATTACTGTGACAGAATTTATTCTCCTATTTTATGCAAACTTTTCAAAATATTTACTGGTGCACAATGTCGTTAGGAGAAGGTGTTTGGAATAATTTTGATCAGATGAAACTTGCAAGAAAGAGCTTGATTAGCTAAAACTAAACCAATTAGGGACATTACAGATGTATGTTTTTCTTTCAACCATTGATATTTTGAGATTAAATTATTAAATTATTATAAATACATACATGCCACTGAAGTTATTTAACCTTTAATATGCCTTAATTTTTCATGCCACAATGTTGGTGCAACATTTTGATATATTTTGTTCTAATAGAAGTAATTTATGTCATTCCCACCAAATACTTCATGACCAGTGTGTAGAGTGTACTTGGGATAACATTACAATTGAAAAAAATAAATATTCGGGAAAAATGTTGGTTGGGCAAAAAACTCTATTTTGTCTGATTGTGATTAACATAAGCACATATGTTCCTCATAAATAAATACTCCTGTTAGACTTCAGATTTTACTCTGGCATAAAAAATTCGACAAAATACTACGGTATTTTTTTAAAAAGGGTGCGAAAATACCGTCTGCTAAAAAGAAATACCGGTATCTGTTTTGCTATGTAACCACCTTATTTAGACAATATGATATTTGAGCAGAAGATTTTGATGAATCATGGCAGTTGTTGAATATTCATGTACCTTGACATTCAGTGGTAGTTGTGTCTTAGTGTTTGCTTTTGTACACCCAAACCACTCTATGTCAAGTGTTTTCTGATTGGCACTACCTGTAGTCATTGTGTCCGCATCCGGAGAATTATTCCATCTGTATCCGGAGCACTTCATATCTGTATCTGGAATATTCGTGACGTACAAGTCAAAGTTTACGGATATTCAATTTAACCAATTGAGTGCCAAAGCCAACTTTTGTCACCTTTAAAAGAATAAAACCAACATAATTATTTTTATATTTATCCAAACTTCTAATCATTCCCTGAACCCCATAAAGGAATTATATCAGATCATTTTAATATTATCCAAAAATTTATATACTGGGGTACATAAAAATAAGCAATTGTGGCACAAATTTTAACTCTTTGTGTACCATATTTCTCCCACCCAAAGAGTTAAATTGGGTGACTGTAATTTAAGAATGCTTCTCTGAACTCGGGTATATTGTATGGTATTGCATAAGTTTTATGTTGAACATGTGGTGTAGATGGTGATTATATGTAGGAAATCATTGCATTTATGTGGCTGAATGTGTGTGTAGAATGATATTATTTTCTGTATCGATGAGATATAAAATACGATTTTAATATCCGTATGTGTATAAACTATAGATTTATGAATTTATTCATAAAATGTTTTTATTAATGATTTTCAAGGCTGTGAATCATTATGATGTTGAATTTTTAAAAGGACTATGCTCATTAAAGTTTGTTCATGTAAACTGTTGTTTTTGTCCTCATTTTCTACCCTGCATGTATGTTAAAATAGTACCTTGATTTTGATCTGCAATCCCTAATTTAGTAGATTTATAGGCTTGTATTATATGTTACCATGTATTAACCAAAATGTTCCCTCTCAAGTAAAGAGAAAATATCAAAACAATAGTGTTAAATAATAAATCATAGGGAATTTTGTAATGACACTATGTTGCTAAAATTAATTTAAAAGATCCATCTGTGTATGTGCCACTCAACAGAGTATTTTTTTGTTGGTTTTCTATGATTACTGTTCAGAAGTGTACAGTGACTCGTGGCAAGAACCTGTCATTCACACCTCAAGCTAAAATAATGGCGCTGTTCACTGATATACACGTCCCAGCAAATCGGTAGCGAGTACTAATCAGTGAGCAATATTTGTAATCAGACATTGGCATGCTTGTTTGCGAAACTTGTAAACATATGACATCACGGTGTGACAACATATACAAGTATTACCGGATGTGTTGATCCCATGTGCTATCGTCTTACATACACGATTGTCAACTTACAAATGACATATTAGATTCTTCCTATGATTGACAGTCATTTTGAAGACTTGCAGTTTAGAACATGCCTTCTCACTAGCTTTTAAATTGGAATTACACTTAAATCTTTCAAAAGTTAAAAGTTAACAATAAAATCATGTATGCTTGATTATAGAGTACTTATTCAGGTTGTTGAAAATATCGATTTTACCTATCACTCCGAGCAGATGGAGTGTGATTTGCTTACTAAAATATGATCGCTATATTTTCTTTTATATACATTCTTAACCATGGTTTGAAAAAAAGATAAGAAATAGGAAATCTGCACTTCACAGAATGGAGGGAGGCACCTATCTCGCCGCTAAAGTAGTTTTGATTTGATTTAAATTAAGAAAACATTAGATTTATTTAAAAAAAGTTGGGTTTATAAATTTTAAATAATAAACCTGCCTTAGTTAACTTAAATAAATTTTCTGATGTTAGCTATTCTTGAAATTTTACAGAATTAGTGTTTTCAAAGAATAATTTGGTAGTTTAGGTGAGAGGGAACATTGATATCATTTGTATGTAATGTGTCACCATGAATTTTATTCATGCTAACGTTAACTGCATGAGCAATGGAGAGTGCATGGACAAGATGGAGTCGCTGTACGTAGTTTAACAGGTAATATATGGCTGTTATATATGTTTACTTTATTCGTAATTTCCTTCTCCCTTGAATTATAGGATAATTCCTCCCATTACAACTAGGTGTTTATATGAAAAATAGGGACAAATTAACTACACTTTTGAAACGTTAAATTTGTTCTCATGAAAAGGTTGGTGCACTCATTGTGCAAGTTTTTCTATAATTTCTTTAATTTTGGACTAATTGGTCATAATTTCCCATTTACTGCTGGTATTGATCAAATTTTCTGAAAAAAATACAAAAATATGTTGAATTATTTTTTGAAAGTTGTTCAAAAGTTGATTTTGTGTTCAAAAACAATTTGTGATGATATAATGACACCACAAATTTAAAAAAAAATAATTTAGTCTGGGATTTTAAAATGGATGTAGTTAGGAGTAGTCCTATGTCAGTGTCCTAATACCCCCTCGCCCATCTGATTCCTAAAATATCAGTCATAGTTCTGTATTACCCACTCAAAACTTACATTCGCTTGGTTAGTTCCACTATTATAATAGTTACATTTGAAAAATATAATATTTTGCATTCTAATATCTGCATGCTTTACTAATGCTTATATAATCGTTCCACATTGATCTGTTTCGTTGGTTTTTTTCCCAGTAATATTGTGAGCAGTGACTTTTTATTGAAACCAAATATGTTATATTTTCATGAAAAAATATTATTTGTCTGTTGGAATGAATCATGTGATGTTGTGAAATATACTTACATTTGCTACATTGGATTCTTTTTTCATCTTTCATAGTTGATGCTAGTTATGCAACCATGCCAACCACAAGTATCAGCGAGTCCTATGGTGAGATTAGTGAGGCATATAGTGCTGATAAAGAAATGGCATCTGATGTTGACATTGACTTAGATGAAATGTTACCTTATGATGGAATACTAGTCAAACCATTTGAACCAGTGAAGAAGGAATTCGAACCTCCAAAGACAATGGAGATTGTCCGTGAACATCGCGAAGGTGGCGACATCATTGTATCACGTGCTACAAAACAGACAAGTGCACTAACTACCAAGACGATTTATGAAGGTGATAAAGTGATACAGGTAGCTGAGCAGCGAAACCCACCAGCGTTCACAAACTACATCAACCACTGCAGAGTATTCGAAGGTGAACCAGCTAAGTTTGAAGTCCAGGTGACAGGAACCCCCAAACCTGATATCAAATGGTACAGAAATGGCTTTGAAATTAAACCATCAGCTGATTTCCAAGTCATGACCAAGTCGGATGGGACCAGTCAATTAATCATTCCAGAGACGTATTTAGATGATGCTGGCAAGATTACGTGTAAAGCAGAGAACGCCGCTGGACTTGCTTCATGTACTGCCAAACTGATAGTAGAAGGTATTCCACTTTTTATACTGTAATTTGTAAGCAGCTGCAATATACAGCCTGTGATTGGACTATATTAAAGTGCTTGGAATGTAGGGGTAACCAGTTACTCCAATGTGGTGGGAAAAAAACATTTGAAACCTTATAAGTCTGTGAATTCATGCTGTGAATCTGGATTCATTACATATTGTCACAGCACGGAACCATGCTCGGTTACCAGGGGCCATTCGACCTATGAAACACAAAAGGGCACAAATTTATCATAATGTTTGTTTTCAAAATGATTGCACAATTGTACTTACTAGTACGAATATACATGTCAAATTTCTCATATGTCTGGGAAGCTGCAAAGATAGACACATTTTAACAATTTTGTGGTTTAAGCCATAATTTGTGTGAAAATTGTTTCATCATACTTGTGAATAAAAATAATAATTGTATTTCAAAAACAATTCTTGCTTAGGAAACTTGAATAAATCGTAGCCAAATTCCAACAATTTGCTTGAAATACCATAATTTTGGTTTACACGTGTCAAAATTAGAAAAGTGCTTCTTATTGAGGGAATACATAATCAGTAAATTCTTAATTCTTATTCCTCTAATTTATCTCCAAATTTAGCACTTCCAAGTGATACTGAGCAAATGATGCACAGTTCTCTGATGGTAGCATCTGAAGAGTATACATCAGATCTGGAGATCCAGATTGAACCACGTATACGTACAATAAGATCATCTGTATTACCAGAACCACCAGTGTTTACATCCTACCTGACAAATGTTGAAGCCACTGAAGGAGGAACAGCAGTCTTTGAAGTCCATCTTACTGGAGTACCAAGACCAAGTGTACGGTGGTTTAAACGTGGTCAGGAGATACGTGGTGATGGTAGACGTATTACGATAGAGTTTAGAACCGATGGAAGATGTCGGTTAATTATTCGTAATGTAAGACAAGAGGATGATGCCGAATACATGGTGAGAGCATCTAATGCTGCTGGGGAATCATCATGTATTGCAAGGCTACTTGTAAGAGGTATGTATCTTTACAAAAAGAAAAATAATGCAGAAAACAACTAAACCAAAACAAGAACTGAAAAAAAAATCTTTCAAACAAAATAACTTGGTGACAAACATCTAAGATTTGACCTCAGATTTCCTGACAAATTATAATGAAAGCTCATCTCCAATGGAAGTGGTTGTGCACTAACATTTGCATGTATACTGGATCATTAAAATATGATGTATTTTGACTATATGCTCACCTCTGTCATTTACAATTAAGCACATGTACAGTATTTGCTCTAGTAGAAACGCTTATACTTGACATGCAAGTCTATGGTAAAAAAAAGAAGACCTATTTCAATGATCTAGCATATAATAAATGCAATTCTTGGTTAATGCGCTCTTATTGGGGATGCACTTCTTATAGAGCAGAGCAGAATAGTATGTTATGCAATTTACCACATGAAATATGTGCTGTTCCCTCATTTGAAAGGTTTTGCATGCTCAGAAAAAGTTTGATTCTGTCAAGTTTGATTCTATCTTTGAACAAAAATATGAATCATCATTGTCAAAAGGAATAGAAACCAACATTCTCACCTGCAGCGGCATTTCATGTCTAGAAATCTATGCCTGATTATGTTATCAGAAATGGCTAAAATCGCATGCCGATTTAGACAATTGATTTTGATTAATCATCAAAAAATGAGTAACAGTAACTGTCTACTGTCACAAACAGTGTTCTGCTGTGTTTTGTAACAGAAAAAAAAATGAGGCCTTCAATTATTTTTGAAGGAAGGAATGTTTTTTTTTCACCGATGCATCATTTATCCTATGTCTTCAAAATTTGCCATGTTTGATCTCTCAATTGAAGTCCTTCTAACAGCAAAAAAAAAATAATTTAAAAGTTATTCATGTGATTTTGCCACCATCTTTGATTTCTGACAAAAATAACCAAAAGTGTTGGCACTTGTTTCTCATGAATGCTTCAAACGATCTACTATATTTTGTATATTACATGTGTGGTCAACGTTTCTTATGATAAGAGTAAAAATAATTTTGATCAGTCACATGGTTTGGCAGACATCTTGGATTTCTGGCAAAAGTGGCCACAATTTGGGGCATTTGTCTCTCATGAGTGCTTTAACTGATCAACTAAATTTTCTATATAACTTCTATGGTCAAAGCTTTCTATGAGAAAAATAAAATGCATATCAGTGATTACATAATAAGGCATATTCAGCCTTCAAAATTGCAGCTTTAATTTTGTTTGAAATTATGTTTACTTCATATAATACAACAAATATTGAATATCATAATAACAATGTTGTATATATTGTTGACTTTTGGTTATGAAAGGGTTAAAAAGCTATCATTTCTTTAATTTTTTCAGTGGACTCTGCACTTGACAGCGATGCTAGCGAGTCCAGGAGGATGAGAATCCGTATAGGTGTGGATCAGGGTATACCAATTACTCATATGAGACACACATTCAGACCTGCCAGACCACCAAGAACAACTAGACCTTTTATAACCAGACTTATAAGTAGTAGTGAAGATGAGTCAGAGAGGCAGGTCTACTTTGATGTCTATGCATCCGATCATGAAAGTGATATTGAAGAATTTAGAAAAATCACTAAAACTACTACTACTAGAACTGTTACCGAAACTGTCACAGAAGAAGTAGAAACTCCATCTCACAGATATCAGCGATCATATGCATCTTTATCTGGAGATGAACAGCCTATCACAATTGAACTTGAGGTGCCTTCTGATGCTGAAGCACCAGCGTTTTCAGAGGTATTTACAGAATCTCGTGTCAAAGAGGGAAGCTCTGCACGTTTTGACTGCAAAGTGACAGGAACACCACTTCCCTCTGTGAAGTGGTATCGAAACAATTTAGAAATACAGGACTCACCTGATTTCCAATACATTACTGATGGTGAGAATGTGTCGTTGCTGATCAGTGAAACCTTCCCAGATGATACTGGTGAATATACATGTAAAGCTAGCAATCAAGTTGGGTTGGCATCCTGTACTGCCAAGCTTCTTGTTGATGGTAAGAGTCTAATCTAATCTAAACATCCATTCTCACCAACTTTAACATCTTCAAAAGCATAAGCCAGATTGGTTTCATATTTATTCCAAGCATGATTGATCAGAATTTCACTTTTGACGAAACATGTTTTTGATATATCCATTAAGTATTGTTACTTAGTGGGTCTCATATGATTTTGCGGTTATCCGTTTCTGTAAGTTGTCTGTTCCACCATTATCTCAAAAAACACCTTGTACATAGATTCTTCGGAATAATTTGATGTCCTAGTTTTGGGTTGGAATTCTTGGGTATTAATAAACTAATTAGCATAACAATTAGTCAATTATTTGGCTTTCCCACCGATATCCCAGGTACTAATCATCGCATTTCAATGAAACTTGATACATAGAAGCCTGGGTAGAATGTGAAAGACCTGATTAGTTTTTTATTGAAACAATGCTTACTAAGTATTCACCAATTAACCAATTTTTAGCATTTCCCCTGAGAACCACTGTATTTCAATTAAACTTGAAACATAAGTGCCCTGTGATATCCCACAGGGCTGTTTAGTTTGTGGTTAAAATCTGTGTATATTAATTGTCTAATTTGCATAGCTTAAGGTTGAAAACAATGCATATTGATTGAATAGTTTGCATGCATATATCAGAAAATTTCTGATTTCTCAACAAATTTGAGATTTAACTAAACTTGCTGCACAGGTGGCTCTGAAATAATCAATCTGCAAATCCGAATTGTGTTTTTGTTTTCTGTGCATATATCATATTGTACAGGCTTATTAAATTTTGAATTACTATTAAATATTACCTATTTTTACTTCATGTTTCTCAAGTGTTCTCAGGAATATTTCTAAGCTTTCTTTGATATGACTATATTCCTGATTTGTTTTTCATTTTTCGTTATTATTTTTGTTTATTTTTGGTCAAAATCCATATTTTCATATTTCAAAACTACATTTTTACATACACACGCAACTATAGTTACTATGTCTGTTTGTTTATTTGCAGGTTTTGGTGAAGTTGACAGAAAGCCTGAACTTAAACCAGTACTAAAGCTTAGTCCTGAAAAGAGGACATCTCCAAAGAAGAGAGTTGAATTAGTTATGAAACCAGAGGTTCAAACCACAGAGAGAAGAAGATCTCCTCCTTCAAGAAGACCTGCTCCCAAGAGCCCAGAACCTGCAACAAAAGTGGAAACTAAAAAGACAGTCATGATTAAGAAAACTGAACCTGTTAAAAAGAAAACACATTCACCTAAATTTTCTAATGAGCTGTTAGACATTGAAGTCCTTGAAGGTTCCATTGCTAGACTACATTGTCAGGTGTCAGGCACTCCTTTACCACGAGTAACATGGTACAAGGATGGAAAACCAATTAAATCAGATGGTCGTCATTTGATTAGGGAAGACAACTATGGCAATTGCATGTTGGAGATCAGAGACATTCATAGTGATGATGAGAGCGAGTATGAATGTAGAGCTGTTAATGCAGCCAGAGAACAGTCATCTAGTTTTGCTGACATAACTGTTAAAAGAAGACCTAAACCAAAAGTTGTTCCTCCAAAAAAGCGACAAGACAAGCCAGTTGCTCCAGCAGGGTCACAGGCACCAGTATTTACAAGACAAATGTCTGACATTGAGATTCAAGAGAATTCCACTGCTATATTTGATTGCCAAGTCACTGGAATACCTAGACCAGTTGTTAAATGGTATAGGGATGGTCGTGAAATCCGCCCAAGCCCTACTGTCAAAATGTTGCATGCACCTAATGGAAGATGTACTTTAACAATAGAACAAGTCACTGATGAAGATGATGCTGAATACATGTGTAGAGCTGTTAATCCAGCAGGCAAAGCTATTTGTTTTGCTGATCTAATTGTTGAAGTTGTTGCAGAATTTCAAAGGCCACAACAAGAATTTTTCCCAGATCTGCCACCGGTTACTATGATTCCTGAGCTTCCGGAGGAAGAGGAAGAAGAGGAAGCTTTGTCTCGTGCTGAGGAATTGGCTGCATCTCCTAAACCAGTCCAAGAACCGACTGTTGCTTTAAAAGCTCCACAACCAGTGATAGAAAAACCTCCACCAGCTTCACCACCACCAACACCTGTGACACCAACCATAGTTTCTGAACTGAAAGATGTTCATCTCACAGCTGGTGAAATCGCTTGCATTGAAGGTTATGTATATGGTGTACCCAAACCAACAATTCAGTGGTTCAAAGATGGTGAACGGGTAACTGGGAAGAGGTTCACAAGTCTTTTAGAACTTGATGGTCACTGCATGCTAATTATATCTCCGCTGTTGTCAGATGATGAAGCTGAATATGAACTGAGAGCTACAAACTCAGCAGGCACAGTGTCCTCATATGCAGAATTGATTGTTGATAAAATGGTTGAACTGATTCCTGAGAAGAAGAAACCTAAAGTAGTTGAAGAAAGGATTGAAATGAGGAAATCAAAACAAACTGAGGTTCAGATGGATATTGGTAAAATTCCTGAACCCGAATTTAAAGAACAGATAATAGTTGAGGATACAAAACAACATGAAATTGAACTTGTCTTTGAAAAACCAGAAGAACCTACCAGGGAAGAGGTCCTCATTGAAGAGTTTACTGAGAGCCAAGTTGAAATGATCTTTGAAGTTCCAGAAGAACCTAAGCCAAAACCAGAAAAACTAGAATTGGAATTAGATCTGAAAGATATGGATGCTACTGTTGGTGAGAAAGTTACTTTAGAGTGTCACATCACAGGTGTACCAAGGCCATCAATTAAATGGCTGAAGGATGGACATCAAGTAACTGGTAAACGTTATACAAGTATATGTGAGTTGGATGGTAAATGTATGTTAATAATTGCACCTGTCATAGAAGATGATAATGCAGAGTTTGAATGCCGCGCTGAAAATGAATATGGTACTCTCTCTGCATTTTGTGAAGTTCGAGTTCAAAAAACAGTAGAAATTCCACCAGTAAAAGAACCTGAAATTACCTCAAAAACACATGTAATGGAATTTGTCGAGCCAGTGGAAGAGCACGTTGTTGAAACTGTAAAAACAGTAACTGAGTCTACAAAAACAGTTATGGAAAGAGGACCAGACACAATTGAGTTTGAGGTAGTGCCAGATGTCAGGGAATCATTGGAGTTTGAAATAAAACCACAGAAAATTCCTACAGTGAAGAAACCTGAAATTACCTCAAAAACACATGCAATAGAATTTGTCGGGCCAGTGGAAGAAGATGTTGTTGAAACTGTAAAAACAGTAACTGAGTCTACAAAAACAGTAATGGAAAGGGGACCAGAAACGATTGAGTTTGAGGTAGTGCCAGATGTCAGGGAATCATTGGAGTTTGAAATAAAACCACAGAAAATTTCTACAGTGAAGAAACCTGAAATTACCTCAAAAACACATGCAATGGAATTTGTTGAGCCAGTGGAAGAAGATGTTGTTGAAACAGTAAAAACAGTAACCGAGTCTACAAAAGCATTTATAGAAAGAGGACCAGAAACGGTGGAGTTTGAGGTAGTGCCAGATGTCAGGGAATCATTGGAGTTTGAAATAAAACCACAGCAAATTCCTACAGTGAAGAAACCTGAAATTACCTCAAAAACACTTGCAATGGAATTTGTCGAGCCAGTGAAAGAAGATGTTGTTGAAACAATAACAACAGTAACCGAGTCTACAAAAACAGTTATAGAAAGAGGACCAGAAACAGTTGAGTTTGAGGTAGTGCCAGATGTCAGGGAATCATTGGAGTTTGAAATAAAACCACAGCAAATTCCTACAGTGAAGAAACCCGAAATTACCTCAAAAACACATGCAATGGAATTTGTTGAGCCAGTGAAAGAAGATGTTGTTGAAACAGTAACCGAGTCTACAAAAACAGTTATAAAAAGAGGACCAGAAACAGTTGAGCTTGAGGTAGTGCCAGATGTCAGGGAATCAGTTGAGTTTGAGATAAAACTAGAGGAGAAACCACATGTCATGGAGACTGTTGAGTTTGAGATAAGACCCGAGGTTGAAATTGAAATTCCTAAAGCTGTTAAACCTGTTTTTAAAACTGAGGTTAAAGATGTTGAAGTTACACATGGACAAACAGCTACTTTAGAGTGTTGGATTGCAGGTGTTCCACGGCCTACTATTACATGGTACAAAGAAGGGGAACAAGTGTCCGGTAAAAAATACACTAGTATTTGTGAACTTGATGGCCGTTGTATGCTAATAATATCACCAGTAACAGAAGATGATGATGCTGAATTTGAATGCAGAGCTGAAAATGAAGCTGGTACTATCTCATCATTCTGTGAACTGATAGTGCAGAGAACAGTTGAAGTTCCTGAGATAGCTGAAAAAGTTGTTCAGCTCAAAGGTGAGCATTTTTCATAGTGAATTATGGCTGTCACAACTTCCACATACACTTCATGGTATTGTGTTACAGTCATCACACAGCACATGCATTTAGTAATGCTGTAAAAATATTCTATTCAAATTTATGAATAAGAAATATTTTACATTTAGAACATGTATATTTAATTGTATTTATGATTTATGAGTTGTATACTTCTAAACTGTTCGTTTTTACCACCTTGCACCATTATATATATATATCTCATTTCATATTTATGATTCTTTTCAGAAGAGAAACCTGTCACTGAAACGATGACTAAAACTATTACAGTTTCTAAGGAAGGAACACCTGAGGTTATGGAAATAACAAAGACTATCACAACTGTCACTACCACAACTATTGAAAAACAGGTTACAACTGAAGTAAGAGAAGAAGAAGAACCAGAAATAACAGAGCTAGATCTTGGCCTGCCAAGGCAAGATATGCTCCAGACATTCATGGAATCCTTACCAATAGCAGAAACTCCAGAACTAGAAGCTCAAGAATGGGAGGAAACAATTGATATTTCAACAGACGAACTTGAAAAGGAAGTCTTGACATCCAAACCAGAGCATCAAGTGAAAGTGATTTCAAAGAAGGAAGAGATACAGCCTGTTGAAGAGGTGATCAGATTTGAAGTTGTTTCTGATAAAGTAGAAACCATTCCTAGTCTTGCAGCAGAGGCACGTTTTCCATCTATTCACGAGAAGGAAATACCAATGACTCTGGAATCAGCAGGTGTTGTTTCGCAACAGACAGACAAGCCACATGCTGTACATCCAATTCCTGCTGAGACAAAGCTGGAATATACACCAGAGCAAGAGACTATCACTGCAACTGAACATGCTGAACAGGTCTTGGCACATACAGCAGAACCAGTGAGTGCCAAACCTATTAAAGACACTTCTGTACCAATGAAACAGGAAGAGACTGTTCCTTGGGAAAAGCCAGCTGAAATACTGGTTATTCCTAAAGATACAGAAGTTGCAAAGGAAGCAAAAGTTATTGCCCCAATTGAGGTTATTAAGACAGAAATGGTCCATGGTGTTGAAGAAGTTGTTGCAGCTGAATTTACACCAGAAGATGTTGAGACAGTGTTAGTACTACCAATAGAAAAAATGACTTGTGAAGGTGTTGAAAAAGTAGAAACACTGCGCCTTGAAGCACCTGGTCATATACTGCCAACTGAAGACAAACATGAAACATTGAAACCTTTACCAGCTGAACTAAAACTAACATACACTCATCAGCAACAAGAAGTAATGACAGTTGAGGGGACAACCGAAGTACCTGCAGAGGAAGAAGCAATAAGCATAAAGCCGCAACGTGAAGCAACTGAACCATTGACAAAACAAGAGGTACAACTGATTGAAGAAATTACCGAGCTTGATTTACCTGAAAGGGTTAAACAAGAAATTCCTGCTGTCCCAACACAAAAGTTAATTATAGAAGGTGTGGAGAAGTGTGTAACCATTCAGTATGAATCTCCTGGGGAAATCCAAATTGTTGATGAGAAATCTGAGACAATACACCCCATTCCAGCTGAAGTAAAATTAGAATACTCACCAGAGCAGCAATTTTCTCTGACAGTGGAATCAACAGAGGACGTACCACGAAGAGATATTGAAGAAGTAAGCATCAAACCCATGAAAGAAGCAGCTCAGCCTTTGAAACAAGAAGAAGCTGTTCCATGGGAACAAACCACTGAAATACTTGTTATAGGGAAGGACAAGAAAGAAGTTGCACTAGAGAAAAAGGATGTGACTACTGTTGTTGTTTCTAACAAAGAGGAGATTAGTTCAGTTGAAGAAGTCATCGAGTTGAAAAAGCAGCCAAAAGATACTGATAAAATACAAAGTACTCCTATTGAAAAAGATGTTATAGAAGTTATTTCCAAGGCAAAACCTGTTTCACTTGAGTCTCTTGGTGATGTTCTGCCTCACAAAGACAAGCCAACGCACGTCATGGCTATACCATCTGATCTTTCTCTGGAATATACACCTGAAATTGAATTTCAGTTTGCTGTAGAAGAGGTTGAAGAAGTTGTTAGAACACCAGATACAACTGTAACTGTGAAACCATTAAAAGAGCCAGTGGAAACAATCAAGAAAGAACAAATTACCATTCTTGAAGAAGCAGTTGAAATGGAATTGAAGCCCAGTAAGACGGAAACACTGCCAACTGTTCCTACTGAAAAATCTGTAACTATGATAATTCAGAAGGAACAACCAGTGTCTCTTGAAGTAGTTGGGGATATTTCATTATCTACAGGAGAGCCTGCCCAGTTAGTTGCCATTCCTGCAGACAGAAAACTTGAATATACTACAGAGAAAGAGCAAGTTACACCATTGGAAATTACAGAAAATGTTTTAACCGAGAAAATGAAACCAATCCATGTCAAACCAGAAATAGAACCAACTCAAATTGTAAAACAGGAACAAACGACACCCTGGGAACAATCAGCAGAAATATTTGTAATATCTAAAGATAAAGAAGACACAGCTGCTAAAGAAAGTGTGTTTACACCAGTGGGAGTTACAAAAACAGAAGTGATCAACACTGTTGAAGAAGTTGCTTATATGGATATCAAGCCTATTGAAGAAGAAAATATTCCAGTCTCACCTTTACAGAAACGTGTTACTGAAGTCTCAGAACACGTAGTTGCTGTTCCATTGGAAACTCCCGGAGAGATTAAGCCTTCTGATGTCAAAACAGAACATATTAGCCCACTGCCTGCTGAACTGAAACTGGAATATATTTCAGAAAAGGAAGAAGTTGTTTCTGTGGAAAGAACTGAATATGTAAATGTAGAACAAAAAGATACAGTTACTATCAAACCTAAGAGAGAACCTACAGTGCCTCTCAAGCAGGAAGAAGCTGTTTCTTGGGAGGAATCTCCTGAAATGAAAGAAACTATGAAAGATGATAAACATGTCATTGAAAAAACAAGATCTATGACAAGCACCATTGAAGTAACACAAAAGGAACAAGTTCAGCCTGTTGAGGAAGCCATTGAGGTCACTTTGAAACTTCATGAGAAAGAAAGTGCTGATCTTGTTCCAACTGAGTTGTCAAAATCTGAAATCATACAGAAAGAACAAATTATATCATTTGAAGTGCCAGGTGAAATACAACCAACAGAACCGAAACAACATAAATTGACGCCACTACCATCTGAGCTAAAACTAGAATATACACCTGAAACACAGTCAGTTGTTCCAGTTGAACATGCTGAAGAGGTTGACAAAAGAATATCAATAGAGGCAGCTGACAGAGAAATAGTTGGAACAACTGTAACTATAACTGAACAAGAAGAGCATATTTCATGGGAGAAACCTAGAGATGTTACAGTGGAGAAATATGAAAAAGAAATTATTGAGGAAACTTCAATTGCTCCTTTGAAGATCTCAACAGCTGAAGAGGCAGTATCTTGGGAAAAACTTGGAGTATCAGAGAAAGTCATAGCTGAAGCATCTAAAGCTGAAACAAAACCAGCAAGTGCTCTTTCAATGGTTGAGATGACAGAATCCCTCACATGGGAAGAACCAGCTGAAGTTGAAGTTAAACTACTCAAAACAGAGGAAGCTGTTAAAGAAATTCCTATTGCTGTGACTATAGTACCTGAAAAAGAAGAATCAGTTTCATGGGAAAAACTTGCTGATGTTCCAGATGGTGTAACAGAACCTAAGAAAGCAGAAAAAGTTCCCTCTGCCCCACTTGAAGTGTCTGCAAAAGAGGAAGCGCTGACTTGGGAAGAAACAGAAGTAGTAGAGACAAAGAAAATTGATGTAAGTGAAGCAAAGCATTATTTGGAAGAAAAAGAGGACAAAGTACATGCTAGCAAAGAAGAACCAGAGATGAGAGCTGTCAGTCAAATTGTTGTTCCTGAAAAACAACTAGAAGAGTTGCATATCGGTGAGATAAGTGTAACATTCAGTGAGCCATTGTTTGTGAAAGAACTGAAAGATATTGAAGCCAATATCAACGAAAAAGCTGTATTTGAATGCCAAGTTATAGGTGAACCAAAGCCTGAAATCATCTGGTTCAAAAATGGTGAGAAGCTTTGTGACACTGAAAGATACATGTCATCCTATGAAACTGATGGTACATGTGTGCTTGAAATTCCTGTTGTTGAAGAGGATGATGAAACAGAGTTTGAATGTCGGGCTGTAAATCCTGTTGGTGAGAGTTCTACATATGCTGAACTAATTGTGACAGGTAAGTAAATGCGTTATTTTGTCTTTTTAAATAACTGAACATAGTTAATACTTTTTTTTGCCTATTCTTTATATGTTGCCCATCTGTTTCCCATCTACAACATATTACTTCATTCTTTATTCATCTTCATTTCTGTTTTTTTCTCATTTTTTTTTCTCTGGTATTTATTTTTTGCTCAAATTCATCTTTTCACTTTAAATTTAGTTGCGACACATGAAGTTAGAAAAGACAAAATTGAAACAATTACAACTACAACTGTAACTAAAACCGTGGTAGAGGAGGTCTTAACCGAAACAACAGTATCTGATGCTGAAATTCAAATGCCTGTAACTGTCGAAGCACAGCCTTGCAAGCCAGAAATTAAATCAGAATTGACTGATATAGATATGAAAGTAGGGGAAAGAGTAACATTAGAATGTGAAATATATGGTGTTCCACAGCCAAATGTAGTTTGGCTTAAAGAAGGGGAACCAATCACAGGCAAAAGATACACCAGTACTTGTGATTTAAACAACCATTTTGCTCTTGAGATTTTCCCAGTCACTGAAGATGATGCTGCGGAATTTGAATGTAGGGCAACAAACAAATTGGGAACTGTATCTTCATTCTGTGAGTTATTTCTTGAAAAACAAATTGAAATACCTGAAAAAGAGGTAGTTAAAACAACTGCTGTTGAAGCATTACCAAAAGTTACAATGTCGTCAGCTGATTTGGACATGCCCAAGACTATGGAAACAAAACCTTGCCAGCCAGAAATAAAAGTTAATATGCCTGAAGTTGATGTTAGTGTTGGGAAAAAAGCATCTTTGGTATGCTATGTCAGTGGAACCCCTAGACCAACTGTAACATGGTTGAAGGAAGGAAAACCTGTCACTGGGGAGAATTATACAAGTAGTTTTGATATTGATGGTAAATGTATCTTAGAAATATCTCATGTCACGGATGATGACAATGCTAAATTTGAATGTCGAGCGGAAAATGAACTTGGAACTGTGTCTACCACATGTGAAGTTTTTACTGTAAAGACAGTAGAAATGCAAGATCAAGAAAGGGTTTTTACTGAAAAAATAGAAATCGCTGAAGACAAATTATTAGAGATTATCCCTGTACAAACTGAAAGTACACAAATGGTTATTGAGGAAGAAACACAAAGAGATATTGAGATGATAATCAAAGTGCCTGAGGAAGAACAAAAGCTCACATTTATAAGTGAGCTTTCAGATGTTGAGGCAGTTGAAGGGGATATAGTTACACTGGAATGTGAAATTAAAGGTCAACCAAGACCAAGTGTTATGTGGTACAAAGAAGGACAAATTATTACAGGAACAAGATACATCAGTATATGTGAATTAAGTGGAAAGTGCATGCTAGTCATCAATCCTTTGACTGATGATGATGATGCAGAGTTTGAATGTCGTGCTACTAATAAATTTGGCACAGTTTCCTCTTTTTGTGAAATTTATGTCAAGAAACTTGTTGAGTTACCAAAACAGGACTCAACACAGAAAAAGGTATCACTGGTTATGCCCGAGTCAGACACAGCTCTAGTGTTTCAAGGTGTTGAAGGTATTGATGAACCATATGTGCAGTTGATTAAAATACCAACTGAAGAAGATGCAGCACCTTGGGAGGATGTAGTTGTTGATGTGCAAGTACAAAAACCTGCTGCTGCAGAAGAGACCTCTACATCAGCATTAACAGTTTCACAATTGTGTGAATCCCTAGCTTGGGAGGAACCTGTAGATATGCCCAAATCGGATGAACCACAGAAGAAACAGGCTGTTGAAGAATCACTTGTTAAGCCTTCTGAAATACCTGCTGCTGAGGAACCCATTTTTTGGGAGAGACTTCAAGATGACAAAAAATCTGTGCCAACAACAGAAAAAGTTGAGGAAAGTACACCTGATAAAATAACAGTCATAGCTCTTCAAAGTGAAGAATCAGTTCCTTGGGAAAATCTTGGTTTGAAGGAAGAAGATTTAGCAAAACCTGAAAAATTGGAAGAAATACCATCAGAGTCTCTTTCTCTTCCTCAGTTAGCAGAGTCATTGACATGGGAAGAAACTGAAGAAATAACCAGGCCAATAAAAGCTGTGAGAGAGGAAGCTGTTAGTGAAACATTAATAGCTCCTTCAGCAATCCCTGCCGCAGAAGAAACAGTTTCTTGGGAGAAACTTGAAGAGTCTGAAAAACCAATTGTGAAAACAGAGAAACTGGCGGAAAAAGTGCCAGAAAGAATGTCAGTTGTAGCAGTGCAACAAGAAGAAGCTGTATCATGGGAAAAACTTGACTTCCAAAAAGAATCTCTGACAAAGCCAGAACGACCAGAAGAACTTGCATCAGAACCCCTTCCAATCCCACAACTAGCAGAGTCACTTGCATGGGAAGAGACAGAGGAAATTGTTAAATCTGTCCCAGCCTCAAATAAGGCTATTGAAGAAATTCAGATCAAGCCGACAGATATACCGGCTACTGAGGAGCATGTGTCATGGGAAAAACTTGAAGATGTTGAAAAGCCATCTTTGATACTAGAGAAATTAGATAAAACATCAGTAATGATACCAGTAGAAGTATCTCAGAAAGAGCAAGCTGTCCCATGGGAAGAGGTTAAGGATATTCAAGTGTCAATGGCAACAAAGGATGTGCATGTACAAGAGACCTCTACATCAGCATTAACAGTTTCACAATTGTGTGAATCCCTAGCTTGGGAGGAACCCGAAGATATGCCCAAATCTGGTGAACCACAGAAGAAACAGGCTGTTGAAGAATCACTTGTTAAGCCTTCTGAAATACCTGCCGCTGAGGAACCCATTTTTTGGGAGAGACTTCAAGATGACAACAAATCTGTGCTAACAACAGAAAAAGTTGAGGAAAGTACACCTGATAAAATAACAGTCATAGCTCTTCAAAGTGAAGAATCAGTTCCTTGGGAAAATCTTGGCTTGAAGGAAGAAGATTTAGCAAAACCTGAAAAATCTGAAGAAATGCCATCAGAGTCTCTTTCTCTTCCTCAATTAGCAGAGTCATTGACATGGGAAGAAACTGAAGAAATATCCAGGCCAATAAAAGCCGAGAGAGAGGAAGCTGTTAGTGAAACATTAATAGCTCCTTCAGCAATCCCTGCAGCAGAAGAAACAGTTTCTTGGGAGAAACTGGAAGAGTCTGAAAAACCAATTGTGAAAATAGAGAAACTGGCGGAAAAAGTGTCAGAAAAAATGTCAGTTGTAGCATTGCAACAAGAAGAAGCTGTATCATGGGAAAAACTTGACTTCCAAAAAGAATCTATGACAAAGCCAGAACGACCTGAAGAACTTGCATCTGAACCACTTCCAATTCCACAGCTAGCAGAGTCACTAGCATGGGAAGAGACAGAGGAAATTGTTAAACCTGTCCCAGCCTCAAAGGAGGCTATTGAAGAAATTCAGATCAAGCCAACTGAAATACCTGCTTCTGAAGAGCATGTGTCATGGGAGAAACTTGAAGATGTTGAAAAGCCGTCTTTGATACCAGAGAAATTGGATAAAACATCAGTAATGATACCAGTAGAAGTATCTCAGAAAGAACAAGCTGTTCCATGGGAAGAGGTTAAGGATATTGAAGTGTCAGTGGCAACAAAGGAAATTGTAGAACTAAGAGATGTTGAAATAGTATTTCAAGTACATGATGATACAGAGAAAGTGGAAACAATCAAACCAAATGTTTTAACTGAACTGAAAGATGTCGAGGCTGTTGAAGGTCAAACTGTAACTCTGGAATGTAACATTCAAGGAACACCAAGGCCAGTCATTATGTGGTATAAACAAGGACAGCAAATAACTGGAACAAGATACACCAGTATTTGTGAGATGGACGGAAAATGTTTGTTGCTCATTCATCCTTTGACTGCTGATGATGATGCGGAATTTGAATGTCGAGCGAGAAATGAGTTAGGGACTGTTTCTTCGTTTTGTGAAATATATGTTGAGAAACTTGTTGAAATTCCAAAGAAAGAAGAAACACTGACAAAGGTATCAGTTGTCATGGCAGAAACTGTACCCAGCCCAATTTTGGAAGATGTTCATGCGATTGGTGAAACTGCTATGATGTCTCTGAGGTTACCTACTGAAGAAGAAGGTGTGGCGTGGGATAAATTGGATATTGATCTGAGTGAAATTCAAAAACCAGCTGCTGCTGAAGAGACTACTACATCGGCACTGACAGTTTCACAATTGTGTGAATCTCTAGCATGGGAGGAACCTAAAGATATGCCCAAATCTGATGAACCACAGAAGAAACAGGCTGTTGAAGAATCACTTGTTAAGCCTTCTGAAATACCTACCGCTGAGGAACCCATTTTTTGGGAGAGACTTCAAGATGACACAAAATCTGTGCCAACAACAGAAAAAGTTGAGGAAAGTACACCTGATAAAATAACAGTTATAGCTCTTCAAAGTGAACAATTAGTTCCTTGGGAAAATCTTGGTTTGAAGGAAGAAGATTTAGCAAAACCTGAAAAATCGGAAGAAATACCATCAGAGTCTCTTTCTCTTCCTCAACTAGCAGAGTCATTGGCATGGGAAGAAACTGGAGAAATAACCAGGCCAATAAAACCTGAGATAGAGGAAGCTGTTAGTGAAACATTAATAGCTCCTTCAGCAATCCCTGCAGCAGAAGAAACAGTTTCTTGGGAGAAACTGGAAGAGTCTGAAAAACCAATTGTGAAAATAGAGAAACTGGCAGAAAAAGTGTCAGAAAAAATGTCAGTTGTAGCATTGCAACAAGAAGAAGCTGTATCATGGGAAAAACTTGACTTCCAAAAAGAATCTCTGACAAAGCCAGAACGACCTGAAGAACTTGCATCTGAACCACTTCCACTCCCTCAGCTAACAGAGTCACTAGCATGGGAAGAGACAGAGGAAATTGTTAAACCTGTCCCAGCCTCAAAGGAGGCTATTGAAGAAATTCAGATCAAGCCAACTGAAATACCTGCTTCTGAAGAGCATGTGTCATGGGAGAAACTTGAAGATGTTGAAAAGCCGTCTTTGATACCAGAGAAATTGGATAAAACATCAGTAATGATACCAGTAGAAGTATCTCAGAAAGAACAAGCTGTTCCATGGGAAGAGGTTAAGGATATTGAAGTGTCAGTGGCAACAAAGGAAATTGTAGAACTAAGAGATGTTGAAATAGTATTTCAAGTACATGATGATACAGAGAAAGTGGAAACAATCAAACCAATTGTTTTAACTGAACTGAAAGATGTCGAGGCTGTTGAAGGTCAAACTGTAACTCTGGAATGTAACATTCAAGGAACACCAAGGCCAGTCATTATGTGGTATAAACAAGGACAGCAAATAACTGGAACAAGATACACCAGCATTTGTGAGATGGACGGAAAATGTTTGTTGCTCATTAATCCTTTGACCGATGATGACGATGCAGAATTTGAATGTCGAGCTACAAATGAGTTAGGGACTGTTTCTTCTTTTGTGAAATATATGTTGAGAAACTTGTTGAAATTCCAAAGAAAGAAGAAACACTGACAAAGGTATCAGTTGTTATGGCAGAAACTGTACCCAGCCCAATTTTGGAAGATGTTCATGCGATTGGTGAAACCGCTATGATGTCTCTGAGGTTACCTACTGAAGAAGAAGGTGTGGCGTGGGATAAATTAGATATTGATATTAGTGAAATTCAAAAACCAGCTGCTGCTGAAGAGACCACTACATCTGCACTGACAGTTTCACAATTGTGTGAATCTCTAGCATGGGAGGAACCTAAAGATATACCCAAATCTGATGAACCACAGAAGAAACAGGCTGTTGAAGAATCACTTGTTAAGCCTTCTGAAATACCTACCGCTGAGGAACCCATTTTTTGGGAGAGACTTCAAGATGACACAAAATCTGTGCCAACAACAGAAAAAGTTGAGGAAAGTACACCTGATAAAATAACAGTCATAGCTCTTCAAAGTGAAGAATCAGTTCCTTGGGAAAATCTTGGTTTGAAGAAAGAAGATTTATCAAAACCTGAAAAACCAGAAGAAATACTATCAGAATCTCTATCTCTCCCTCAACTAGCAGAATCATTGACATGGGAAGAAACTGAGGAAATAAGCAGGCCATTAAAACCAGGGAAAGAGGAAGCTGTCAGTGAAACATTAATATCTCCTTCAGCAATCCCTGCAGCAGAAGAAACAGTTTCTTGGGAGAAACTGGAAGAGTCTGAAAAACCAATTGTGAAAATGGAAAAACTGGCGAAAAAAGTGCCAGAAAAAATGTCAGTTGTAGCTTTGCAACAAGAAGAAGCTGTTTCATGGGAAAAACTTGGCTTTCAAGATGAATCTCAGACAAAACCAGGACGACCAGAGGAATTGATTTCTGAGAAATGCATTGCTTTACCTTTACAAAAAGAAGAATCTGTCGCATGGGAAAAACTTGGAATTTCTGAAGAAGCAATACAATGGGAAAAGCAAGCTGATAAAAAAGAAGTTTTTCATGAACTGTCTTTGCCAGACCTAGCTGAATCATTAGCCTGGGAAGATACAGATGAAATTGTTCCTGAGACACATGAAACCAGAGCGCTAATTCAGGATGTCATGTTGGAGTGTATTGAAGTTCCAGCTGCTGACGAACAAATTCAGTGGGAAAAAATGGAAGATGAAACAGTGCCCTCAATGGAGAAGCATGACAGAGTTGAAGGTTGGAAACCTACTGTTATGCATAATTTTGTGGCTGATCAATTATGCATAGTGCCTTGTTAAAAAATGGAAGACATGATATATGCATGGTGATGCATGTATTGTGTAACTTGGTCAGTCAAGTACACATCAACCATAACTGCATCAAACAGTGGTCTTGCAAACATATTGACAGTGAAGAATGTAATATACTGAATGTTGACCTTAATAATGCATGAATAGCAAGCAAATTGCATGTTAAAGTGAATTTGTCTTTTGTCTGGTCTATGTGCAATATTGAAAACCCACATACACACATGCATCTCAACACTGTTTGCCTTCAAGCATATTGCTATCTTGCAACCAGTATTTTTATACAGTGGAATGTGTTGTTATTATTGCTGTAGCTTGGCAACTATATGCTGTATTACAAAGAGTTAACAAACAGTTGCACCACTTCATTGTTTTCACAGTTGCAATGCATTCACCTGCATCAAGCTTAGTTGTTTAGCATATTTGTATTGTGCATTTTGCTTGTTCATTCCTGTGATCATTTTCATGTATCATGATGTCTTTCTTATTTTGTCTTTCTGTTATTTTTACCAAAAAACAACAACATTCAATTCAGGGTAATAGGTGAATTAGTCCATCAATTACATGTTAATGTGTTTGGTTTATAATTTGTTCCTGATCTAATTTCCACAATCGAATCAAACCTATATCAGCAAATTATCATGCCCTGAATTTGTGTCTCATGTTAAGTTCTATCAAGCAGTTTACTCTAGTTTATTATAGACACTGTGTTTCTTTATCATGATCCTGTATTAATTATTGAACAAAACAGAACTGCCTGTTTGTGTGGCTAATCAGTCTCATTGTTATTCCAGTTACTGTAAAACCAGAAACTGTAACAGAAGAACGAACTACAGTGACGACTACTACTACAGTGACTGAAACTGTGGATGTGGAGACAACTGCAGAGAAACTCACTCGTGAGATAATGATTGAGGCTGTGAAGGAAGCTGAGCAAAAAGCTCCAATATTTCTTAGTGAGCTTAGAGATGTTGAAGTATATCATGGAGAAGTTGCCACCCTTGAATGCCAAGTACAAGGAACACCCCGTCCAGAAATAACTTGGATGAGAGAGGGTGAATTTGTCACTGGTCCTAGATACACAAGTATTTGTGAATTGGATGGAACATGTATGCTGATCATCTCTAATGTTCAACTGGATGATGATGCAGAATATGAATGTGTAGCTCAAAATCCTGCTGGCAGAGTTACTAGTTTCGCTGAAGTTATTGTGAAAGGTTGGAATATGAATGTTACTGTTCTGTACTGTCAGCTGTTGAAGAGTTGCCAGCAGTTGCCAATTAACTGACTTTAGTAAAGAAGCATGCGGAAGTAACTACTAATCTTCATCTGTCCAGACAAAATGCTAGATGTGTTGCATCTGATGGCATTTGGTAGATTTTAGCAGAATGTACATGCATGAAAGTAGACATAATGGCGTAAATTAAAATTACATGCCATAATCCATATAGGGAACTTTAACTTGGTATTGGGATGAGCATTGTGTGTATTTTAACATTGCATGGATGGTTGTCAGTTTCAGTCATTTGGTCAGTAATGTGTGGACTAATTTGCTGATATGATTGCTAGACTATATTATTGCTGCATGTCATTAAAAAGTGTGAATCTCTGTAATTAACCCTTGTATGAACATGGTATGTAATGATTGTCAATTGTTTACATGAATGACAATAATATATGAAGTGCATGGTGATTATTAGTAAACAAATTGTTCTAGTTACAAATGTAATAATGTTTGGTAATATGGTATGATATGATGCTGGCAATGTTATTTACTGTAATGTACTTTATTTTCGCTTGGAATTAATTTTCGCTATTTTCGCTGAGAGGATGATTCCGTGAAAATAAAATCCAGCGAATATACTTTTTTTCCTATATTTCACATTAAACTCATCAAAAATCAGTGAAAATATATTCCATACGAAACGCCCAAAAAGACCTTTCAGTGAAAATTAATTACAGCGAAAATAAAGTATTCCACAGTAATTGTTTTGTAAGAATTTGTATGTTATCTTATGTAGCTGTAAATTTGAATGTGTTTATTTTCTACATGTGCTCATCATAATTGACAGTGAGGTAGGTATTTATCAGCCCCCTTACATATACTGTGATGTCACCCTACATCATTATGATTATTCAAAAGTCTTGCTGAAACCACTTATGTTTTACAGTGTTTCACATCAAGATATTGTAGTTAAAATTCAATTTTATGATTTTGCGATTATTTAATTTTGCAGAACTTGATGTGGAAATGCCAGAAGTTGAAGAACCAACTCAAAAAGAAGAATTTACTGTTGCCATGGACATACTGCAACCTCCAACCTTCATCACTCCAATCACCAGCCAAGATGCTGATGAGGGAGAACCAATATCATTCACTGCTCTTGTCAATGGCAGTCCTGAAATTACCATAACTTGGTATCAGAATGGAGAGGAGATCAAAGAATCAACTGATTTTAGGATGACTTTTGAAGATAATATTGCAACTCTTAAGCTTTGTGATGTGTACATTGATGATTCGGGGGAGTATACTTGCAAAGCTGTCAACCCAGTTGGTGTAGCTACATGCACTGCAACATTAACTGTACTTGGTAAGTGGTACATAATTTATATTGATGTGACTTAATTTATACTAATTACATTGTTTTGTTGAAGCTCGTCTGAGGTTCTCTACTGGTTGTTTAATTTTGTTAATCTCTTTAATAATACTACTAATAATTATTACCTTGAATATTAAAAAATATATTCTTAAATGAACAAGTCATAGTTGTATACTTATTGTTTTGGTAATATGTTTATAGACATTTTAATTTACTAAAAAAATTAATACTATTAATCACATGTCATGATATTCAATGATTTGATGTATAGAAGAGATTCACGTCTATTTGACCAATGAACACCAACAACTAACATTTACTAACTTTAGAATTAATGTCCTCATGCATGTAAATAAAGCTAATATTTGGAATAAATACATCCATAATTTGATTTACATTGTTGGCATAATCCGTTGTTGTATTAATCACAGGAATACAACTTTGCATTATTGTATTGTATCTGATTTAGCTTTGCATGAATTTCATTGCATGATGACTAACTATTTGCATGGTTTTTTGCGCATGTAGACCAAATGGATGAGGCTGATGATTCATCATCCATTACCAGGGAAGATACCTTGTATGAACAAAGAACATTTGTAAAGAAAAGTAGAACAGTCACAACTGTAGAAAGATTGAAATTGTCAGATTCTTGCGAGTCTTTTGAAGTACATGTTACAGAGAGTGAGCCCAACACTGAACTGTATGGCATAGAACGATGTGTAAATTTTAGAAATTCCCCGGGAAGAGAGGCAAGTGACCTCCCTCGTGAGGGCACAGACAGGGTGTTTCAAGTTATGATGCACAGATCTCCAAACGTGACTGATACTCAAGTTACACTTGATGATCTTGAAGAGGAATCACCAATTGATGAGAGAATTCAAAAGATGCACATTCAGTATGAACCTGGTGAACTGCTCACTGATGAAACTTTTGAAATTTCCATGGACAATTTAGATGCTATTGATATTCCTGTAGCTCATTCCCTGAATGATGACGAAGTGGAAATAAACTGTGCAATAAATGAAGAGGTTGTTGAACCACTTATACGCCCTGAATTTATAGTTTTTGATGATTTGTATACACTTACAGAATTAGATGAAACCACATCATCAAAAGATGAAGAATCACTTGAGTGCAGTGATTCTCCCATTATTGATGATGAAACTAAATCAAGTATTTCACTGCCTAGACTGATCCTGACCTCTGAAGAGATCATAGAAGTAGATCAGGTTGAACCAAACTTTCGAAAAGTACACATTGAATATGATAATGATAATGGTGGTAGTCCTGCTAGCAAGGCAGACGGCATAAGTCTTGCCGATGTGCCTGTACTGTCAGATGATGAAAACCAAAAATTCGAATTAGAATATTCTCGACCCAGTAGAGTTACAGAAGATCCTTTTAGAAAAAATGTGATTGATTATGATAATGTAATCAGGGACATTCATGATCATACAATTCCATTAGAGAGCACAACTGTAACAATTCAAACTAAAGTGAAAGAAAGACACCCTGATAAAATTGATATACTCATTGAAATTCCTCAAGAGAAGGTTGAGAAAAGTACAGGGAGGGAAACTGAATTTACCAACAAGATTCATATAAATTATGATGATGAAGAGAAGGGCAAGGTTCCCCAAGAATATCATGTAACAAAAGAGGATGTTCCACGCTTGTCAGAAATTAGTAACATTGCAGTCAAGAAATCATATCCAGTTTCACCAGAACTCATAGAACCTATAATTCGTGATGAACATATCAGTTATGATGGTAATGATGATAACCTCAGACCTCTGCAATCAACAACTGTTGTAATTGAAAGTGCTGGAAAGGAAAAGCCATCATCTGAAGTTGAAGTGATTTTTGAATACCCTAAAGGTGAAGAGAAGGAGAGGATTTCAAAATATGATGAAAATGCACCTGTGCCAAAACAGGCTTCTATTCCAATGAAGCGTTTGGAGCCGCCCACATTTTGCCCACCTATATCTGTGATTAAGGTAGAAGAAGGCGAATCTGCAATGTTTGAATGTATTGTAAAGGGACATCCCTGCCCAATGGTAGAGTGGTTTCATAATGATGATATTGTGACAAATAGTTATGATTTTAAGCTACAACAGCAAGGAGAAAAATGTACTTTTTGCATCCGAGAGGTATTTACTGATGATGCTGGTGAATACTCCTGTAGAGCTGTGAATCTTGCAGGCGTGGCAACATGTACTGCTGAACTCCTAGTTGAAGGTTTGCATGCTTTTTATTTATTACTAAAAATTTAAATAGAACGCCAACTAACAAAAATAGGGAATATAAGTGAGTTTTATATGAAACTACTTCCAATAGTATTTATTGGAATAACAGATTGTATCAGTTTATTTTAATACTGCTTAATATGCTCTATTAAGCTTACATAAATGACAGAGATGTGCCTATGGTCATAACAAGTGATGTTTTAATATACAAATATACAACAAATGAACTGTTTAATTTATATGTGTTTCTATTTGAGATGCACTCCTAGTAGAGAAAATACAGTTCATGCCTTCATACATACACCTTCATGCATATTGCTGTCTGTCTTTTCTTATATTTTCAAATAAGTGGGGTTTATGTAAAAGGGCCCAGGCAATATTCATTTTGGAGAAAGTACTACAGTTTATCTTCAAATTATGAGGAAAAATGAACAAATGCGGACTAAAATGTGTGCAAAAAATAAACTTAATTTTGATAAACAAGAAATCACTTATGGAGAAATATAATATATATATGAACAAATTTACATGAAATAATAATAAAATAGGTTAAGTTCAGGCTTACTTACCTTGTAATTAGTTTAGCTATTAATGATTATAATATTCATCGTATAATTCTCTATATATGTATTCTTTTGATTGTTATTTCTGCTTCACTTTCTACCCATCCATTGCAACATATTTATCTTTCTTTGCTATCTCAGAAGACTGTGGTATATGTAATTTATAGCCAAACTGGAGGCTTGCTGTTGACATAAAATACACATGATATATTAATACTATGAAAATGCAGGTTAAATTCCTTTGAATTGTTTTTTTTTTTTATGATTGATTGAATGGTTGCTTTTCATTAGAGTTAGAATCAGAAAGTCAGCGAAGTTCATCATCCACCTCAGATGGAGCTGAATACATTCCAAGTGATGGCAAAGTGCAACCTGTCACTGATGAGCTGGATCCAGAAAAATTAGATTTTCAGACTGAGATTTATGAAAGTAAAACTGTCACCCGGCGTGATATGACACATGTTATCGAAGAAATTCTATTTGAAAGTGATGAAGAAGTGATGACTATTCAGCGTGTAAGAGACGACACTGATGAAACAGAGCTACAGGAAGCCATCATCAAGCCTCACAGCAAAGAAATAGAACATCCATTTTACATAACCAAGTCCACAACTAATCATGATACTCAGTTTTATACGCAGACAACAAAAGATGAAATTAACTCAGAATCAGACTCATCAAAACTTGACCCATTTGAAATGACTTTGTCATTTGAACTGCATGATCATGATGATAATGGAGATGATACTGATCTAAGTAGTATTGGGGCTGAATATCCACGGGGGATTGCTGTTGAATTAGACCTAATAGATTCTCCAAAACGTTTACGTACATCATCAATAAAATCACAGAGTAGTGTAGAAATGAGAAAATCAATAGAAGCTAGTTTACCTAGGTTTATTGAAACGCCAGACGATTTTGAAGCTGTATTTGGCTCAACTGTAATCTTAACCTGTAAAGCTGATGGTGTGCCAACCCCTATGCTCACATGGTTTAAAGATGGACGATTCTTACAACCAGATGACAATGTATACATTGTGGACAAATTAGATGGAACTGGGAAACTTATTATAAAGCATTTTGGAAACAAAGATATCGGCCATTACAAAGTGGAAGCATCAAATTGTGTTGGTAAAACTACATATGGGGCTGATATCACAGTTGTCCTTAAAGGTTTGATATGGAACTCTTCAGTATTGGTTACTAATGTTAAGGTTGTCCCACCTAATAAATAGTTTTTATGTGGTCAGTAAATCGTTTTGGTGTTGGGTTGTAAGCTTCTTTATCTTATTCCATCTCACTCATTGCTGTGGGTTTGAATTTATCATCTTTGTACACATCATTCTTTTTGCACTTTGCACATATAAAGTTTCTATTTTCCAAGTTTCTTACAGAACAATTATAAAGTGTGTTTGTTAGCTGACATCTTCACATTATACAATTTCTTTTTCAGAATTTGAAAGTGCAGAAGAAAGTATACATGAAGTAACTACAATTTCAGAGAAAGTGACAACAACAGTGACGAGTACAAGTGAAGTTGTTCCACAAAAGACGGAGACTGTGTCTCAAGAATTCCAAATCGAAACACCTCTACAGGACATTGAATTTACATTAGATATGGATAAATATGAACCACCAAATGTGACCAAAGTTTTTGAGAGCCAGAGTGTTCTGGATGGTGAAAGAGTTACTTTTGAATGCACTGTAACTGGCAAACCTCTCCCTGAAGTGACATGGCTACTGAACAACAAACCTATTGAGCATGGACCAGACTACAAGATTCGCCGTGCGAATGATGGTACATGTACACTAGAGTTGCCTGAAGTATTCCCAGAAGATGCGGGTAAGATTACTTGAAGGCTGTCAATCCTGCTGGTGAAGCTGCTTGTACAGGTGATCTTGTTGTTAGAGGTAAGCAAATCATATATTGTGTGGCTCCTAATAATTCTATAGTGACAATTCCTTTTACTTTTACCATTATCAAATAATAATCCTTATAATGTTTTCTTAGTTTTTTGGTGAAAGCATTTTGCCACAATAGTCTGAGCAATTCAGTACTCATTGCATTATATTTTTATTATCACATTCTGATTCTATTACAAAAATATTGTCCATTGTTGTGAAGACTTCTGTGGCAAATGCAGTGTGAAGTGAGTCCTGATAACACATGCATGTTATTTTATTATTGGTTTTGGTTAATCTAGACCTAGATGAACTTGACCATATCTTGGATGATTTTGACACAGCATACACTCCAACAGAACCTGATGACTCTGTTACTGAAGTGTCAATTACTGAACTCGAGCTTGATCAGCCTCCTTGCCTTCCACGTGAAATTGATGTTGGTGATATCAGGATGTCTATTGAAGTGCCACGACCAGACACTGAGATATCATCTGCAGGTTTGAAACCAGAAAGACCATCTTTGCTACCAGAAGAGATATTAGTCTGTTCAGAATCAGATGAAGCTACTCGGGATAGTATCGATATGGGAATGATAGAGTATGAAATATCAGAACCAGGTGTTGCAGATGAAACACTGACTGAAATATCTAGTACAGAAATGGAGATTGAGTCATCACCGCAACTACCTGAGGAGTTTGAAATTCAGCTTAACATAGATGAGCTCTATGGACCTATTAGTGAGGTATCAATAGATGGGCTTAATCTGCAAAAGACAGTGGTTCCAAGTGTACCATCTGAAGATGAACGAGAATCATCTCAAATAGAAGTATTGGTTGACTCTGTCCTACAACAGCCAGAAGAGGTTGAGTTTCACTTAGATATTCCTCGACCAAAGGATGAACCTACATTTGCAGTACAGCAAAAAGTGACATTGCCTGAAGATATTAAAGAAACAGACATATCTCAAGTGAAAAAGCCATTTGAAGCACGTTTTGAAGTTTCTCTGGAAAAGACATCCCATGAGATGACCACAGTAGATATTGATGAATCTCCTGGACTTACTGAAGAAGTAACTTTGAAGCTCCAAATTGATGATACATTACTTCAACAATCTGCAGAAGAGCCAAAAGTAGTTACCCCTGTTATTGAGGAGATTGATGATGTGACTGAATACCCATCATTGCAGCTTCAATTCGACACAAAAATGACAACACCTATAGTGGAGGAAATTTATGATGAATTTGTTGAACCACAGGTTGATGATATTATTACTATGGCGACCCCTATGATAACAGAAGTTATGGAAATGGGCATACCGATTCAGATATCACAACCTTCTGAGATTGAGATACCATCACATGAGGTTTCCACAACTGAGATAGATATTGAAGATGATTCCAGACTTCCAAAAGATATCACATTGCACCTAACAGTTGGGGAGAAGGAAAAGCCAACACCCATGGTCACCGATGTTTCGAGAATACAAATATCACAATC